TAAATTTCAGTTATTAAAATTTGTTTTATACAAAAAAACACAGAATAAATATAAATTATATTTTTATAATATAAAAAATTGTAATATATAAATCTATTATTAATAATTAAAATTATAATAATTAAAATATTATGAAATTATTATTTACAGTTTATTTAAACAATTATTTAAAGATTTTTACAATGATTTTCTAAACAATCACACATATATAGGCTAGTTAATTAATAAATTATTAATTTTTTTTATAAATGATAACTTAAATTATAGAATTAAATTATATTAGATATATTAAACATTAGTATAATATATTTATAAAATAGTAATAGTAATAATAATAATAAAAAGTTATTAAATTATTTTTTTTATAAAAAAAACATTTCTAAAATAAATATATTTATTATGTTTATAATTTTAAAGTTAATAATCGAAAAAATTATTATATTTCAAATTAATGTTAATTAAAAGTTTAAAATAACTAAATAAATTGCTTAATATAATTTAATATAAATTATTATAGAAAACAAATTTTAATAAAAAATAAATGCAATTTTTATTGAAATAAATTTATGTTTTTCTTGTATTGCGCTAATAATTGATTAAGCTCAATTGATTAAAAATTATAGTATATTTACATATATTTAAAAAAAATTGCTAAAAAATATCATGTTTTTATTTTAAATTTATCTTATAATATCTATTAAGATTTACAATAATTACTACGAAAATGTTAATAAATGTATTTTTTTAATTATCATTATTATTTAATAAAATTAATAATATAATACTATTTTATTATAAGTGATAACTAAAATTTATTTTTTTATGAAAATAAAAATGATTGTAAAACGTTTAGATAAAACAATTGCATTATCTAATAGTTATAATTGAGTAAATAAAATGTAAAATTTTAAGGTATATAAAGACATTGAAATTAGTTTATAAAAAATCAAACATAAATATTATATTTGTTAATATAATTATTAAAACTAATATTACAATTATAACAATGCGTTCAATAGTTGTATCGGTTTTGTTGATGGCATTCATTGTTTTGGGTTTGTATTACTATTTATTTTATTTTGAATAAATTATTTTATAAATAATTATTATTATTTTTTAATTACTAATAGTTTTGTCTGACAATGATTTGGATTATTCAAAGACATTGAAGAAAGTCTATGACTTTGAAGAAGGTTTGCATTAAAAAAAATTATATTATATAACATTTTAATATAAAATTGAATACTAATTCTCTACCGATTCATCCATTTATAGGTCATATGATTGCCAATAGGACTGGTATTAAATCCAATGACTGTTATATATGTTCGTCTCCCTGTTCGGCCTACTATTGTTGCACTGGTAGTCATCCTCAGTGTTGTATTGTTGGCGGCTATTGTGGGTGTTGTAGTCGTTAAAAAAGACATATTTGATTAAAATTTAATTATATAGTGCACTATATATTATATCTATATAAATAAATTAAATGTTTAATTATATATTTAATTTATTAAAAATAACAATTGTTTTTTTAAAAAAAAGTTATAATAAAATATTTTTAAGCATTAAACTTTCAGTTATTATTAATTTGTTTTATACTATAATAAAACACAGAATAAATATAAATTAATTTATTTATAATATATCACATATTAAATTGTAATTTATAAATTTATTATTATTAATTAGATTTATAAATTATAGTAATTAAACTATTATGAAGTTTTAAATATTTATAAAAATAATGATTTTGTTTTATATTATTCTTAATAACAATTATTTAAAGATGTTTACAATGATTTTTTCTAAACAATCACACATATTATATTAAATATCTAATTTAATATATTTAATTTAATAAAAAAATAACAGTTGTTTAAGTTATAATAAAATAATTTTAAGCAACAAATTCAATTGTATTTATTTTATTTAATTAAATAGCATTTATAATTTATAATAATATATAATTTATTTACTAAACTTAAGTTATATTTAAATATAAAAGTTTTTTTTTGGTTTTATATACCATATAATACTTGAAGTTAATTTTTTTTATAAAAAATAAACATTATATTAATAGTATGTAATAATGATTTTTTATAATTTATTAATAAAATACTTAAAATTTGATTGTATTTAAATTTAAACTTTTGGAAGATAACTTAAGTTGTAAAATAAATTATAATAATTATTTTAAGTTAATTTAATTAATTTTTTAAATTATAAAGATAAATTATATATAAACAAATTTAATATTAATTAACAAATTACAAATTCAATTTTAATTAACAAATTACAAATTTAAATTACATAATAATAAATAACATTAGAATATTTATAAATTATTAATAATAAAAAATTATTAAATTATTTTTTTACAAATTTTTTTTATTAAAAAACATTTATCATGTTTATAATTGTAAAGTTAATTATCGTAAGAAATTATTATATTTCATATTAATCTTAACTAAAAGTTTAAAATAACTAAATATATTACAGAAAATAAATTCAATGTCTATTGAAATAATTTTATGTTTTTATTGCATTGCGCTAATAATTGATTAAGCTCAATTGATTAAAAATTACAGTATATTTATATATATTTAAAAAAAAATTGGTAAAAAATATTATGTTTTTATTTTAAATTTATCTTATGATATCTATTAAGATTTACAATAATTACTACGAAAATGTTAATAAATGTAATTTTTTTATATATCATTATCATTTAATAAAATTAATAATATAATACACTAGTTTATTATAATTGATAAGTAATATTTATTTATTTATGAAAATAAAAATTATTGCAAAACGTTTAGATAAAACAATTGCATTATCTAATAGTTATAATTGAGTAAATAAAATGTAAAATTTTAAGGTATATAAAGACATTGAAATTAGTTTATAGAGAAAACAAACATAAATATTATAAAATAACTATTATATTATTAAAACTAATATTACAATTATAACAATGCGTTCAATAGTTGTATCGGTTTTGTTGATGACATTCATTGCTTTGGGTTTGTATTACAATTTATTTAATGTTTTATTATTTGTTGTATAAATTATTATTAAATATTTATTAATTTATTTATTAATTACTAATAGTTTTGTCTGACAATGATTTGGAGTATTCAAAGACATTGAAGAAAGTCTATGACTTTGAAGAGGGTTTGCATTTAATAATTATATGATATTTTTAAATCTAAATTCAGTAATAAAATTAGTAATTACCTACCGATCCATCCATCTATAGGTCATATGATTGTTAACAGCACTGGTATTAAATCCAATGACTGTTATATATGTTCGTCTCCCTGTTCGGCCTACTATTGTTGCAGCGGTTCATACCCTCAGTGTTGTCTGGTTGGCGGCCAATGTCGGTGTTGTAGTCGTTAAAAATGACATAATTGATTAAAATTTAATTATATAGTGCACTATATATACAGTATCTATATATAAAATAAATTAAATGTTTAATAATATATTTAATTTATAAAAATAACAATTGTTATAATAAAAAATTTTAAGCATTAAACTGTGTATTTATTATTAATATGTTGTTAATCTTTAAGTTGCTATATATATATATTAAATTGTAATTTATAAACCTATTATTATAAATTATATTAATAAAACTACTAAAAAAGTTTACTATTTATTATATTTTAAAACTGGTTTAATCTAATAATGATTTTGTTTTTATATTACTTAATGAAAAATTATTTAATTATTTAAAGATTTTTACGATAATCACATATATATACTGTATAAACATGTTATTAATTAATATATTATTTTCTATAAATGATAACTTAGATTATTTTATTTTAATTTAAATAATAATTTTAGGTTATTTTTTAATAATGATTAAGATATAATGTAAATTAAAAAAAATAATATTATATATAAATATTATAAATCTATACCCACTTATCTAAAAAATCAATTATTTTTTAAGTACATTATTTGTAAATAACATTTGATTGCAAATAAAAAACAAAGCGTGCGATAAATTTTTTCAAGTCTACTACTATACGGATGATAAAAAAAAATTATTTTAAGTATATTTATTTAATAGATAATTAGTAGACTATGTAGATTAAGTTATAACTATAATTAAAAATAGGTAAATAATAAAAAAAATAATAAGTAATAATTTCTAGAAAATTGTTATATATATATATATATAATGCTTATAAATAATAATATAATATTTAAACAAATTTAAATTTTTATAAAAATATATATATTTAACTGTAATTTGTTGTTGTTGTAATTTATACAAATAAATTAAAATACTATAAATAATATTCAATAAGTATTAATTGTATTGTAATTTTATTACAAAATACAAATATATATATATATATTAATCATAATTTTAATTAAATATTTACATATAATCTATAAATTTATATATATATTAAAACTAATTGAAATTATAATTATAACTATTAATGATTTTACAATTGTTTTAAATTGTTTAATTAAAATAATCAATTATTATAAATTATAAAAAAACATTTAAAAATATAGCAAAATTATTTTTTTTAAAAATGTAAATTAGCAACAATTTAATTTGGTTATGAAAAATTTAATCAATTTTTTTTATTAATGCAATAATTAGTTGATCTATACTGAAGTGTTTATTATTATTACTTAAATAGATAACTAATTATTATTTATTTTGAAATAAAAAAAAATAAAAATTAATATTCAACTGATAAAATAAAACAATTGCACATTAAGTACTGTAAGTAAAACAATAAATATAAACATAAATTTATATTATATAATACACTTATTATCAGTTAAAGTGTTTTTTAGATTTTTATTTTTTGTTTGTTTGTAATTTAATATTTTGATAATTATTTTTAAAAAAACAAGAATATATTTCATCCTTTAATAAAAACCAATTGCAATATCTTTGAGATAAAATAAAAACGATTTTAAGGTATATAAAGACATTAAATTTGTTCACAAATAAAACAAATAAATAATTATTAAATATAATTAACATTTTATATAACAATGCGTTCAATAGTTGTATCGGTTTTGTTGATGGCATTTCATTGCTTTGGGTTTGTATTATATATAATATTTTTTTAGATAAACTAAACTATTATTAAATAAATATTAATTAATTATTTTTTTTGATTACTAATAGTTTTGTCTGACAATGATTTGGATTATTCAAAGACATTGAAAAAAGTCTATGACTTTGAAGAGGGTTTGCATTCAAATTATATAACATTTTAATCTAAATTCAATGTTAATTAGTAATTACCTACCGATCCATCCATCCATTAGGTCATATGATTGCCAATAGGACTGGTATTAAATCCAATGACTGTTATATATGTTCGTCTCCCTGTTCGGCCTACTATTGTTGTAGTGGTTCATACCCTCAGTGTTGTCTGGTTGGCGGCCAATGTCGGTGTTGTAGTCGTTAAATAAAAAGACATATTTGATAAAAAATTTAATTATACTATATATAATACTACTACTATATATAAAATAAATTAAAATGTTTAATTATATATTTAATTTATTAAAATAACAATTGTTTTTTAAAAAGTTATAATAAAATATTTTAAGCATTAAACTTTAAGTTATTATTAGTTTGTTTTATACTAAAAAAACAGAATAAATATAAATGAATTTATTTATAATATTTAAGTTACCAAAAAATTTAATAAATAAATAAAATCTAAATTATTAAAATCTAAATTATTAAAATATAAATTATTCTGATTTATTTTTGTGTTGTAATTTTAGTTTTATTAATTTAATTTTACTTATAGTAATTTATAAATTTATTGATAATATAATTTAGTTTTTGAAATTAGCAATATATAGTTTTGTTTTTAATTATTTAAAAAATTTATTTAATTTTATATCAACTTAAATATACTGTATTATTATAAAATTTAAAAAATAAATATCTTTTTTACAATTTATTTATATTTATGATTCTATACATGTGTTATATTAATAAATATATCAATAAAACCTTATTTATTATAAATATAAATTTATTAGCAATAATATACAAATAAAATAATGATTGTATTATAAATTGTTAAAAATTAGTATAATTTTTTGTATCTATATACTGTATATATAACTATTGTCTATATTTTGGCAAACAATTAATACGCGAGCAAACAGTAAATTGAAAATCCTATATATTTTTTGTTTGTTTGTAAAACCGTTAGATTACTGATAATTATTATTTTTTATTATATATATACAGTATATACAGACAGACAGCACCTGTAGTTTAATTAATTGTATTATTATTACATATCATCTAAAAAACAAAAACACATAATGTTTTCATCAAATAAATCACTGTTTAGTTTATCGCAAAATAAACGGTTAGTTAGTTATCTAATAATTTTTTTACAAAAAATAAACATTACATAAAAATTATTTTAAAAATCTCTATACAATAGACTGTTAGGTTTGTTACTTCCATCGGCACTATTGTTGGGGACAGTTAGCCGCCGGCACAACCATTTCAGTCATCGATGGCAACCATTGATAGACAGGCCGTTGAGACGACAATATTGTCAGCAACGATGTCCGTTACGATCGGTACACATGTTTGACGAAATTGACGACAACACCACCAAAAACAAGGATATCATGGATCTGGTATTCATCAAAAACAAGTGCTTAAAATCAGTGATCATACCGTACAGTGTGTCGTTAGCCGATAGCCGTAAGACACTGTCAAACGGTACGGGTATTGTAGTGGACATTAGCAGTCATCTATGTATAACCAATGCTCATGTGGTTAAAGGTTGTACACTGAGTCTGGTCTGGATTAACATCCAAGGAAATCAAGTGTTTGAAGTGTACGGCGATTGTATCTATGTTGAACAGCATCTGGATCTGGCACTCGTACGGCTCCGGGATATACAGGAATCAAGGAGTAATCTAGAAAAATTGTATGTCTATCACGATTGGGAACCCCAGCTGGGCCAACCGGTAGCCAGTTTCGGTAACGGCAATACATTGAATATGATCGGCGATGGTATAGTGGTCAGACATATGGTCTATCCGAATGATATTGACGGCGATTCATATACGGTTAGTCTGACCTATGTTAGTACAGCCGATAGTACACCGACTAGTTTTCATACGGCTAGTAGTAGTCACGGGTTTTCCGGCGGTCCCGTTATCGATACCGAGGGTGATGTTGTGGGTATACTGTGGGGATCGACCGGCAAGGATGAGGGACCCTATTGTTTCATTTATAATAAGCGCGTGTATGGTATGTATCGCTAGATAGTAGTAATAATAGGTATAACTAATTTGATTTATTGTTTATTAAAGAGTTTATCAAAAGATCTAAAACCTATATACAAACAAAGTTGCCGTCAGTACTGAGGGACAGACACCTGAAATGGTCGCCACTGTTGAAAGGTGGTGGCGGCGGCTACGGTGGCCGATCGGGTGGACGAAAGTTAGGGCTGATCTATGCTGAAGACGATATCGGTATGACAACGATTCTCGGGTTTCTACCCGAAAGCGATGTCTATTATGGCGGTAATTCAATTATTTGTCGCCTATTGCCGGGTATTCAGTGTATAAAACCGGACATCAATCTAGAGTATAGACTAATATTTTAACCCAAAAAAAAAATAATTAAAAATAAAAATAATTTTGTTGTTTGTTTTGTTTTAGGGAACTAATTGATGAAACAATAGTAGCCATTAATGGCCAACAGTTTGATGAAATACGACAGTTGATCGATGCGGTCGACAATATCGGCACCGATGATGGAGAGTCGGACAGTAGTAGTCGTAAAAAGATGACATTAACCGTAAGCGGTGTACACAACGCTATGGACATTGAAATGACGGCCAATCTTACCATCGATGATATGCCGATTGAATTTTAAAAAGAAAGAAAGAGAGAGAAAAAAATTTATTAATTAAAAATTTTTATTATATATACAGTATATTACAGTTTAACAATATATTTATATATATATAGTAATTAATAAATTGTTTATACATTTTTGTTTTATATGGTTATACAGTAATTTAATATACAATATACATAAATATATATTTCTAGTATATTTCCAATGTTTTTAGTATTAGTATACAAATAAATTTTTTTAAAAAAAAAGTTTGGATTTTTATTTTTTTAGTCATACATACAGTAACTAGTTTTTAGTTTTATTTTTTTTTATTTTGGTAGTAATTATTGTTGAAAAACTTTATCCAAAAAAATAAATAGTCAAATATTATATTATATTCAAGTATATAAAAAAATAAAAGTAAGTAAATAAGTAAATAAAATATACATTTATCATATGTATTAATATATATTAATTAACAAAAATTTTATTAAACAAAAATATTTTTTTGAAAAAATAAAATCATTAATTTCGACAATATATTTATTTAATGTTTTTTTATTAGTGAAAATTTTATTTTTTAAACATCAATTTTTTAAAAATCTAACTAATATATTTTTTTTCATTTAAATAATTATTTTAATTAATAGTCTAAATAATATTAATATATTTAATTAATTAATTAATAACTAGATTTAATAGAAGTATTTTCTAATAATAATAATAATAATAATAATCCAGGTAAATATTTTAATCAGACAAAAATTTGTTGACTTTATCAATCATCACTTGATTGATCCATTTGAAAAACTTGACCGGCTATTTGATTAAATAAAATAAAATAATATTAAAGCTAACACACACACACACACATACACCACACACACACACATACACACACACATAGAAACACACACATACACACACACACACAAACACACAAACAAACACACACACACATACACACACTCAAACACACATACAAACACACACACACACACTCAAACACACATACAAACACACATACAAACACACATACAAGCACACATACAAACACACACACATGCACACACACTCAAACACACATACAAACACACATACAAACACACATACAAACACACATACAAACACACATACAAACACACATACAAACACACATACAAACACACATACAAACACACATACAAACACACATACAAACACACATACAAACACACATACAAACACACATACAAACACACATACAAACACACATACAAACACACATACAAACACACATACAAACACTTATACATACACACAAACATTGATAACCTACCAAATTCATTGATAAATAATATTTATCCATATAATCAATATAATTGACAATTATCTCATCCTGGATGACTGGCCGCAAACACAATAGTTTGCCATCCGTTTCCAATTGTACCGTACGTTTCAAACGCATCAGATCCCTCGGTTCCTGACTTCGGACAAACTGTAGCCACAGTTTCAGTCGTTTGTAGGCATTGGCGATCATCTGTTCCATGTCTTGACTGACAAAACTTTTGCCGACAAACTTACGAATTTCGGCCGACAAACGACCGATTTTACAATCGATTGTCTGTTGTTGTTCGCCGCCAATGATTACCGACGTCTTGTAAATCTTTTGTTTGATAATGTCTGGTATATCGAAACACATCCACAAAAATATTACGTACAAGAGATCGTTGTCGTTGTCCATCTTGAGATTGGCCATAAAATGTGTGATCACATCGACATAGACCAGCCGATCGTTAAACTGATCGATGATCGCCTGGCGGTGGTGGTGGTGGTGGTCGTCATCGTTGTCGTACAGATCAGCAGCCAATAGATTGCCATCAAAATTCAAGATCAGATCGTAGTGATGGCGGTCACCGTCGGGCGACAACTCGTTCAATGTTTTCATAAAATAATCGTTTAGTTCGTCCAACGATCGGAACTGATTCAACTCAGTCGTCCAGTTCAGGCCATAGACTGGCCGATCGATGGCGTCGATCATTTCGGCGAAAGCGGTAAAATTACATTCCAGTCCCGGCACTATATAGACTGGTCGACCAGTTCGACTGTTGTTCAATTTGGTCAACCGATCCGTACCGATCATGAACTGTACGGACCGTAATCTTTGTCGGGAATTAGTCAATTCGGTCAGATAGTTGGCCAGATGTTCGGTGTCGCCTACTTCCAGATTCAGCAGATGCTTAACGGTTATCCATTTGAGATCCTGCATAGTTAACCGTAAACCAAACTCCCGTTTCAGGCTATCAATCATTTCGATGGCCAGTAGCGACTCGATGCCTATCTGTCCCATTGTTGTGTGTATATCAGTATATTTTGGATCAATGCCCAGTGCCCGCCAAATGTATTTTATTACCGATGACTTGTTGGATGATTTGTTGCCCAGTTGTTGTTCCCTGATGTTTGACAATGGTGTGCGCACCTGTATGTTTAGGTAAATATACACACCATGTTTTAATAATACCAATAAAAAATAACATAGGAATAGGAATAGGAATAGGAATAGGAATAGGAATAGGAATAGGAATAGGAATAGGAATAGGAATAGGAATAGGAATAGGAATAGGAATAGGAATAGGAATAGGAATAGGAATAGGAATAGGAATAGGAATAGGAATAGGAATAGGAATAGGAATAGGAATAGGAATAGGAATAGGAATAGGAATAGGAATAGGAATAGGAATAGGAATAGGAATAGGAATAGGAATAGGAATAGGAATAGGAATAGGAATAGGAATAGTAGTAAAAGTAGGAGCAGTAGTATTGTAAATACATATACCGGTATATATTATTACACATACATAGGACGTAACTATAGGCTGTTTGCATTGTAACAGCCGGTCCAACGTATTGAGACACTGATGAATACGTTGTCGGCTAACTGTGCCGATGATGGACGACGACAACGATGACAACTGGCCTCTGTCCAATAATTCGGCCGCATAGCCAACGTCGCCGACAAAACCCCATTGGATGGCCAGTGCGTGTTCGCCGCGGCGGCGGCGCTGTTCGCACAGGCGCTCGCACATGGAGTTGCCGTACGAATAGTTGGTCTGTCCGGGATTACCCTTACCGCAGGCCAGTGATGAAAACAGTACAAAATAGTCTAAACGATAGGCTAGGGTTTCCCGAGTCAACCGATCCAAATGATCAAATTGTTTATATTTACAGTCGACTGATTCGGTAAACTGTTGTTTCGACATTTCCGTAAACAGACAATCGTTGACCACTAGCGACAAATGAAACAAACCGCCCAATGGTCCCAGTGTTAGGGCGTCGGCCAACAGTTGACGGGCCCCGTCCTCTGTATTGCAATCGTGTGTAACAATCAATAGCCGTAGGTTCGGCAGCCGAACCCCCCGACCAGTCGTCGTCTCCGATTCCTGACCGCCGCCGCCGCCAATCGATTCCAATCGTTTGACTATTGCTTTCTGATAGTCTGATCGCAGTCCGTATCGTGTGGTCAACACAAATCGTTTGGCGCCCAACCCGGCCATCCATTGGACTAACTCGAGACCGAAACCGCCTAAACCGCCGGTTATTATGTAGACTTTATTTGAATTGAATTTTGTTACACACTTTACTAACATATTATTATTATTATTATTATTATTTAGGCTCATGTCCTGTAATTTATCATCCAGTTCCTCATCGCGCATTTTGATTACAAATTTGCCAATTAGATCACCTAGATAATTTTTTCAAATAAATTAAATTTACTTAATTAATTAAAAAAAATCTATACATACCTTTCATACAGTCCCTGAGCGCTACATCGACCGACTCTTTAGTATAGATTATTGTATTCAATGGTCTGATACTACAATCGTTGTCTGAAATGTTTTGGTTCAACCATTCAAAGTAATTGGCGAAAAATCGGGAGCCGTTTTGTTGTTTGGCCACCGCTGCCGCCTCAGCCGCCGCCACCCGATAGACATTAAGATTAACATAGCGTACGTTTCGCATAAAGTGGACAGCGGCGGCCGCGGCTGCCGGTATCGACCGATGTCCACCACTACGACGACCACTTGCCTGGCTTTGGCTACAGTCAAGAAAGTGACCGCAATCGGCCAGACAGTCGTACGTCTGGTGAACACCCGATTCATCAGTCAGTGTATTGAATACAATTTGAACGCCACGACCACTGGTCTGCCGACGGATATACTGATAAAATTGTTTGCCATTCTTGTTGTTGTTGTTGGTGTTGATGTCCAATACACGCGACTCCGGTATCTTTAGTTCAGTCATCAGATATTGTTTTTGTTTTGCCGTTTCGTGTGTAACGTATATATCGGCGCCGTAATGTTTGGCCACATTTATAATGGCCAAACCAAACTCGCTGGTCGGCGAGTGTACTAAAATACTAGATCCTGAGTGAGTGAGTGAGTGAGTGAGTGAGTGAGTGAGTGAGTGAGTGAGTGAGTGAGTGAGTGAGTGAGTGAGTGAGTGAGTGAGTGAGTGAATGAGTGAGTGAGTGAGTGAGTGAGTGAGTGAGTGTGTGTGAGTAATAACCGGCCGGAAATAATAATAGCCGAATTTTGTACCTTGTTTAATGTTAGCCTGATCAACCAGACCATACCAGGCCACACAATAGCCGGCCAGTGCTGTTATCGCCTCCAACATTGACCACTTATCGGGTACCGGAGCCATATGATCGGATCGGATGTCGACTCTGGTGGCGATTGCATGCAACGTATGATCGAAACCCATTACACGCTGGCCGTCGCCCAATCGGCGGCCGACAAACTCGTAGCCAATACTAGGACCGTCGTCCGCGTGGATGCCGGCGGCCGTCGTCGGCGTCGCCGCACAACAACTTACGGCTAATAATTATATATAGAATTAATAAAACAATTAAAAAAAACATTTAATTATTTAACTATTAATTATTTAACTATTAATTATTTAACTATTAATTATTTAACTATTAATTATTTAACTATTAATTATTTAACTATTAATTATTTAACTATTAATTATTTAACTATTAATTATTTAACTATTAATTATTTAACTATTAATTATTTAACTATTAATTATTTAACTATTAATTATTTAACTATTAATTATTTAACTATTAATTTTTAACTTTTAACTTTTTATATACTGTATAAAAAATAAATACATACCTGAGCTAATAAAAGCATCATGGCCAATCAAACCGGCATAATAGACATAACACTGTTGACTATCAATTTGACTATCATTTGAAGTATTATTAATTTCAATGTTATTACTATTATTATTATTATTATTAAACTGATTATTATATGTAATATTATTATTAATTAATTTAATCCATTGATGATTATATGGTTGTTCACTACTATTGTTGTACGACTTGTCTACTTTAAGATAGTAATCATTGGACCAAACGGTATCGAAACCACTGTCCAGTCCGATGTGTCTGTAGGTACCGATTATGCCATCTTTGATGACATTCATTACCAGATCAGTGGACAGTATTCGGTCGTAGGGTTCGCGGTTAAAGTCGATGATAGTATGTTTGCCATTATTATTGTTATCATCAACAACAACACCATCACCACCGGTAGGACAGTTGTATTGGCAAATATAACGCAAAGATGACACATCTATACAGCCGGCAGCGGCATCCGACTCATGGCGTAGACTATTGAAAAAACCGACTGCACCGCCGTTAATGACCGGGTTGTCCGTGTCGTTGGCTATTAGCCACAGTTTGTCGTCGCCATCACCACTACTAGCGGTGGCCAATGTTTGTTGGACGCGATCAAACATGTCGTCATAGCCGCCACCGCCCGACATAATGATTACCCGATTCGGGTCAGGTATGTCCGGTAGTCGAGTGGAGTCGAGTTTGCGAAACAATAGGGCCGTAGTTACTATTGTATCGTATTTACGGGCCACTTGTTTGAGACCGAATTTGGCGGCGGCTATCATACAAAACTGGTCGATACGTCCAGTAAGATGATTGTCCGTCAAATTGGTTTTAGTAGTGGTCAACGATAGCAGTGACCGCTCGGGTTCTGCTAAATTATTTCTGTAAAAAAATTATATACTGTATTAAAAAAAATTTAATTATTAAATATATATGATATCTATATGTATATGAATTTATGATATTTATACATATATTATACAAAAATAATTTTAAACTATATTATTATTATTTATATAATATATATAGATATGTATATAATTTATGTAATAATAATAATAATAATAATAATAATAATAATAATATTAATATCGGTAATTAAAAATATTTATAAAAATATACAGTACTTAAAAAAATGTAGTGATATAATAATAATAATTATTATTATTATTTTTAAATATTTATATAATAAACTTTTTTTGTAAAATTATTTATATACTAAATAAATATTAAAAATTAAATTATAAGTAATAAGTTGCTATATATATAAGTAAATTTTATTATCTAAAAAAATTATAATTAATTAATTAATTAAATACCTGAATATAGCCAACAAAAATCCGCGATCATTGATAATATCTGTTAGATTTCTAAGAAAATCCATGACATCCAGTTCCCATAGCTCGGGGCTATCCCTGAAAACTACCAGATCGTTGTGTTGGTGTTGTTGTTTTGACCATTCAGACCATTGAGACCATTGAATCAAATTTTCTTGGCCACCAATCAGTTGGACAATAGTCGGCTCATGGACTACACTACTACCGGTTTTGGTGGTCACCAATTTGTAGTCTACTTGTACGGGATAGTGTAGTCGCGAATAGGCTAACGTTTCGTACACTAATCGGGTCACTGGCGGCGAATTGGTCAAATTAATTTCGGTTACTTTTATCTGCGGTAATTGTTTCTTATGGCCGGTGGCCAATGATGGTGGATGCGGTTGAGTTAGATTTTCGGCTACAATGTCGACCAGTGTCCGAATAAGTCGCTGATTATCGGCTACACTTGTATTGATCAGATCCCGACTCAGATCGCAACCACCCGTTTCCAGTAAATTCTGGACAAATGTGTCCAACATTTTCGGCTGTCTATTGTCTATTAGTGTCGACATTTGATCCAATACTGTAAACATTATCCGATTGGTGTCCAATAGTTTATTACCGCCGCCGCCGCCGGTACCGACACTACATAGTTGTTGTTGTTGTCTATAGTCATCGATGGCCTGTCGACTGTATTGTTTGTAGTTATAGTCGCACAACATTTTAGTTAAGCCATTGATTTTGATTTTTGTGGCCAAATATTTGCATATCTTTATTATGAGAATTAAAACAAAAAAACAAAATTATTTAAATTTATAATATTTATTATTTTATTTTATTTTAATACAAAGTTGAGTAGAGATATAAAAAATAATTAATAATTTAAATATTAATATTTTATAATTTAATTTATTAATAATTTAATATTTTAAAATTATTTTTTTATAATTACATTTATAATTAATATATTCTATGATTACTAATATATATTATGAATATATTTAAAAATAAATAAAATTATTATATAAATCATCTAAATTATATATTTAATTATAAATTATATATAAATAATTAAAACAATAGTTTAATATCAATATATATATTAAATGAAATTTTTATAATTATATATTTTATTATAATTAATATTATAACAAATACCTCAATATAATTGGCAATCTCTAGACGCTGATCGGCACCGATAGCTGAACTATCATCGTTGGCCACAAACTCGTACGAATCGAGCACCAGATCCTCGGTCTCCGTAGGTCTACGGCTAATGGTCTCAAGTGTCCAGTTTTCAACACAGATACCGTCGGCCACAATCAATTTGGCCGCCAAATCGGTCCGGAAGGGCATCCGAGCCGTATACATATGATACCGGCGCTGTATATTAGGCGGTATCAATGCGGTAGTGGTTGCGGTGGCGCCGATGGTGCCGCTGCTTGTGTCCAACACATAGCGGCCACGTTTGACGGCCGCATACACTCTGGACATATTCATTTTGATCGACCGAATTTCTACGGGTACCCGTATTAGTAGTCGACGATGCCCGGGCACGGGTTCCACCAATACCGACTGTAGTAGACTATCCAAATAGGTTATCATATTGCCTGACCAGTCCAACTGACCCCGAAATTGTCGAAAGTTTCGGGTTCGCAGCCGCCGAAGTCGTTGAAAATTGTCGCCAAAATCATAGCCACAACACTTGTAGTCCTTGTAGATGTCCGACTGTGTCATTACTACTACCTCCTCATCCTCCTCCTCCTCATTGTCGTCATCATCGGGAGACCCGATGTCCTCATTTGTTGGCATAAATGAGTCCATATAGTAGTCGTCGTTGTCGTCGGGCGACCGGATCTGACCGCAACATACTTCATCGCCATCGTAAGTGATACTGAAATCGCCTGAAAAAAATATAATTACAAATAATTTTGAAAAAAATATTAATAATAATAATAATACTATTAATAAATTAATTTAAAAAATAAGACTAATTAGTCGACATATGAATAACATATAAATATTTGATGAATATTATTATTATTGTGAAAAAATACCAAAATAATTAATTTACTAAATACTTAATAAATAATATTAATTATTATTATAATATTATTATGCAAACACCTTATGTTAATATAAATATACAGACACACACACATACATACACATACACATACACATACACATACACATACACATACACATACACATACACATACACATACACATACACATACACATACACATACACATACACATACACATACACATACACATACACATACACATACACATACACATACACATACACATACACATACACATACACATACACATACACATACACATACACATACACATACACATACACATACACATACACATACACATACACATACACATGTAACGGAAAGTTAGATTAACTACAAGTTTAGGCTATTTTTTAATGTTATAATTGTTTGTCAAAGTTTAAATACTTTTTATTTATATTACAGTAATGTATTCAATATGTTTTCAATAATAATTGTATATAAGTTTTTTTTGTGGGTATATTTCCTAATAGTTTTGAGTCTAGTCTTATAGTATTAGTCTATTCACGGACGACATAAGTGTAAGTTTCTATTATTTTTTTATATGTTTTAATTTATTGATTAAAAACTGTTGTATTATAAAGTACTGTATGTTTAGTGTATTGTACCGCTTATTGTGCGACTGTTTGGTTACCGGTCGGCCAAACATCGGTGTTTCCCCAGCCCAGCCCTAATGTATGTGTTACCCCTAATATAAGGTATACACCTATCCTGATGACCAATGGGGTAACCTCAGGAGGTAATCATCACACACACACACACTTACCGGTAGAGTCGAGGTAACGGCATTTCAAATTGATTTGTTTGTCTTCAACTAAGTTAACCATTTTTTTGAATATAACATTCCTGAAGTGCACGGGTACCTGTTCCCATGTACGACCCAGGCTGGCGGCAAACTGACGCCAGGCTATCGATAGGAAACCGGTAGCCGGAAATATACACCGACCGTCCAGACAATGATCGCGAAGATAGGACATATCGTTCAATAGTATCGGAAAGTTTAGATCGGATGCTGTATATCGGTTAAAGTACTGGGGATATGTACGGTCCAAATAGTCGGCACTGTGATCCCAGCGCATCAGCGAACCTATTGACTGTGTGCCTCTGGCTACTGGCCACACGACCCTATAATAATAATAACAATAGCAAAAAAACTATAGACTAGAAAGCTAGTGGATATGTATGTGTTTGTATGTATGTGTTTGTATGTATGTGTTTGTATGTATGTGTTTGTATGTATGTGTTTGTATGTATGTGTTTGTATGTATGTGTTTGTATGTATGTGTTTGTATGTGTGTGTGTGTATAGGTTTAGGTGTGGATAGTTATGTGGTTATAGATTCTTGATTCGACATACATACTTGGGATACAGGTTCTCAATGGACGGATTAAGACCCAACTCGTAGAGAGTGCCGATAGACGACAAAAACAAGTCCAGATTGTCGGCGTCGTTGTAGTTCTCGTTCATCAGAGATACTACCGATACGGTCGGACCCATCGACTGATGGATTATATTAGCAAACAACGAGTGCGGCGACAATTCAATGAAGATGGCATCCGCCGGTAGCTTCTGGATGCGGTCATAGAAATAGACTGGACTACACAAATTGTGCGCATAATACTCGGGCGATGCCGTACGGTAATGTTGTTGTTGTTGGTGATTGTGATGTTGGCCGATAGTGGTCACCGTCATGTCGGACAACTCTTTGTCCGAAAACGATGTCGACAACCATTTGTTTGATCGCATACGTGACGGCCTATGCATATACTTCTTGATCTCCGAGTCCATCGGTGTTCCGGCGGTAACCATATAAGAGCTATGATAGGGTATCTCCGAACTGTCCAATTGGCGAACAAATATCCCATCTTTTTCTAGTTTCCGTATGACTTCAATCATCTGATCGTACAATCCTTTAGACCACAAAAATAATAGAGTATAAGACTATCACTCACTCACTGACACACTCACTCACTCACTCACTCATTCACACACACACACACACACACACACACACACCGACCAATTATCATAACATACCTGAAATGACTACCGTTTCGGGTCCGTTGTTGCAGATAATTTCGACGCCCGGACCGACACACTTGTCTTCGGCATCTGCTTTGGACAGTCCGACGACAGCCATCAGACCGCGCGGTATTTGTCTATCGTTTTCGGTAATCACACCGCGCATGTAGGCTATAATCATGGCTTCGCGAGCGGTCAGACAACCGTCCGCATAGCCGGCCGCTATTTCGCCAAACGAGTGCCCGATTATGCCGTCCGGTTTGATGTCCAGCGACTCGAGCGTAGCGCACATTGCAATCTGTAGGGCAACTGTTGCGCAAAACTTTTTCAACATTGTGTCCAACACTGGTTGGTCGGGACCGGCGTCGGACAACAGCAACGATTTGACATCAAAATGGCCAAAATCAGCACTGGTGGCCAATGCCCGGTGACACTCGTCGATGGCTGCGGCAAATACCGGTATGGCCATCCACGATCGGGCCATTGCCGGATATTGGCCGCCCAGTCCCGAAAACAAGAACCAAACGGGTCGTACAGATTTACCGTTATATTGTCGGACGTGTCGGCGGTAATCGTATTGGCAATCGTCGGGTTTGTTACCGATGTGTTTGATAATTACCGATCCTATTGAATGAGTCGATTGGGGGGCGAAGGATATGTTTGTCCCGATTATTACAATTATTATTATTATTATCATTCAATAATACCTCTGTATTTAAAGCCATCGCTGTTAACGTCGGGCACGTGTTTGACAGTATCGGCAAACAGTGCCAGAAAGTCGCGCGTGATTTTCTGGGGATTTTCTTCGATAAAGTCCATCAAATAAGTAATGGCTTCCAATGTACGGCCGCAACATTGGACTAGTCTGGGTATGGGCTGACATATACGGTTGTCTACCAGTGTCTTGTTGTTGGCTTCGACCAGTGCTATAGCATTAACACCGGCCAAACCAAAATTACTGGTACAGGCTATGGCTATTTTAGAATATTTATAATATATATATACAGTATTTAAAATTATATTACACATTATAAAGAATATTTGATTTATTAATTATAAATAATTTATTTTAAATAATTTTATAAAAATATTGGATTAACTTATAACTATATAATTTTATCATATTTTTTTTATCTCAATTAAATTGATTACTCTATTAAAAAAAATTTTAATACTATATAATAGATTATAGTATATTAATTATTATCATATATAGGTATATTGTATAATAAATTATATATCATATAATAATAATAGTTAAATATAATATAATATAAAAAATTATATTTAAAAAATAATAATAATAAGTTAATCAAAAAACAAAATAATACCTGGTTCAAATTTTACATTATCGATAACAGGTTTAATTAGTCCGGTACTAATTAGATTGTCAATAGATTTACGTAATGTTTCGATAATCAAATTACCCGGTATACATTCCCGTTCAAACGACAACAATATCTTAATCAGTGACACAATACCGGAGGCGCCCTCGCAGTGGCCGATAGTGTTTTTTATGGTACCGACCATTAGTTGATTATCGTCCGTACGCTTCGGTAGACCGCAAAATGCTGTATATATTGATTTAAGTTCTTCCAGATCTCCGGCCTATTATATTATATATATAAAATAATTATAAATTTATAGAGGAATTTATAGGGAAATTTTATGGGAATTTATATTAGGGAATTTATATGGGGAATTTATAATGGAGTTTATAGGGGAATTTATATGGGGAATTTATAAAGAAATTTATAATGGAATTTATAGGGGAATTTATAGGGGAATTTATAGGGTAATTTATAGGGGAATTTATAGGGGAATTTATAGGGGAATTTATAGGGGAATTTATAGGGGAATTTATATTAGGAAAATTTATATGGGAATTTAAAGGGGAATTTGTTGGAAAATTTATTAAATTTTAGTAAACTAGTGGTTTAAAAATTCAATAGAAAATAGTTCAAAAATTAGAAACCAGTTGCAAACCCTGATTTAAACAGTAATATATTATATACAGTATTACTGTAGTTTCAACCCACACACACACACACCCATACCCGACACACAAACACACACATACCTGAGTGCCAGTTGCGTGCGCCTCCATATAGTTGACACGGAGTGGATCAATATTTTTTCGGCGATACGCCTGAATCATTAGGGCCTCCTGGGCCTCACCGGATGGACAATACATACCGTAAGTTTTGCGGCCGTCGCTGCTAACGGCCGCACTGAGTACTGTAGCGTAAACACGTTTGGCCAGCGATCGTCTGGTCAACAATACGCTGGCAACGGTTTCGCCGCGGACATAGCCGTCGGCATTTTCGTCCCAAACTTTCGGCCAGCCGTCCTCTGGCGATATTTCCAGTCCGACAAACAAATTATTATAGTAGGGTTGGGTTACTATGTTTGAGCCGCCGACTATAGCATAGTCACAGTTGCCTAAAGTACACGAAAAAATACAGGTACAGTTGTCTAGCAGCGCACACCCATAGTATAGCACCGATAGTATACCTAATTCAAGATCATTGACCGCATTGGCCAGTGCAACCAGACTGGCCGAACAGGCCGTATCGATAATCATCGACGGTCCCTTAAAATCAAATACAAACGATATACGATTGGCATAGCCTGATCGACTGCAACCGTTGACCAGTGCAAATTGTTCGGTAATATTTTTAGGTATATCCGGCTGCAGTTCATCAGGTATGCCCATTGTTGTACCGAAATCGGTGGTACCGATATAGACACCGGTATTTGTGCCGCGCATATACTGCGGACACAATCCTATGAAAACAAATTTAATTAATCAACTTAATTAATGCTAATACTACCGGTCCCCTGGGGTGGGGGTGTGTACATACCGGCGTCAATCATTGCCTCGTAGGTGGTCTCGAGAAATATTTTGGCCGGACTGTCGGTAGTGTCCGCATAGAAGTCGATAAACCCGAAAAAATATGCGTCCAATTTGTTGGTGTGCTTGAGTTTGCCGAACCGGTTTACCAAACCGTAAACGTCTAGTTGTTGTGTGTGTGTAATATAAATATTTATTTTTTATAAATTAATTGTTATATAATAAAAACTATATATATATATATATAGAAATAAATTGGTATAATATATAAATTTCCGTCCCTCTCCTCAAACATACACACAAACATACAAACATAAACACGTACACACACACACACACACACACACACACACACACATACACACACATACATACACACACATACACACACATATATACACACACATATATACACACATAAACACACACATAAACATACACATAAACACACACATAAACACACACATAAACACACACATAAACACACACATAAACACACACATAAACACACACATAAACACACACATAAACACACACATAAACACACACATAAACACACACATAAACACACACATAAACACACACATAAACACACACATAACAACACACACATAAACACACACATAAACACACACATAAACACACACATAAACACACACATAAACACACACATAAACACACACATAAACACACACATAAACACACACATAAACACACACATAAACACACACATAAACAAACACATATACCGTATATATATATATACATTCACACACATATATACACACACACACACACACAAACATACATACCTTTAGGATAGCGCCGGTCGTCTACAGACAACAGTTCCGTATGATTGTACAGATTATCGTAAAACTCATCGGTAGTCTCCGATTCCGGGAAACGGCCGCCAATACCGGCTATTACTATGTCATTGTCGCTCATAATTTTAAATAATTGATTAATCAATAATAATCAATCAATTTTATACAACAACAAAAAAATCAAATAAATTGTTATAAAATCATATAATAATAATAATTAAACTAAAAATATAGTTTAGCTATAAAATTTTCAATACAATAATTTAAAAAAAAACATTTAAAAAAATAACTATATATATAATATATATTAATCTTGTAATAATATTTAACTAAATAAAACTAAACTAAATATACAGTATATATATTAATCAAACTATAAATTAGCAAAAAAAAAATCTACAGATGGTATTTAGTATTTTATATATCTTTTTAAAAAAAAATTTCTAACCAATAATTATTTTTTAAAATATTATAATTTTTATTTATACATGTAATATTAAATTGTTTTTTTAAAAAAAATAAGTTATACCGGTAATAGATTTTATGTTGTTTGAATTACATTAATATACAGTAATACTATATACCTTATATTACAGCATAATATTGTGTACTTAATAAATAAATAATTTTTCCAAAATAAAGTTAATTAAACATAATAGGTATTTAATGTACATGTATTTTATTATAAAATTTATAATTTAAATAAATTATAAAACTAGCATTTGATTTAATATAAATAAAATAAAATTTATTGATATATATATATATATAATTGAAAAATACAACTACAATCAAATATATTACATAATATATTTAAATTGTTTATCAAAAAAATATGGTTAACGACTACAACAACCACAATAGCCGCCAACAACACAACACTGAGGATGACTACCACTGCAACAGTAGATCATTGAACAGGGATTCGAACAAATATAACAGTCATTTGATTTAATACCAGTGCTGTTGTTGTGGACAACCATATGACCTATGGATGGATCGGTAGGTATTAATTAGTTGATTGATTTTACATTAAAATGTCAAATAATTTTGAAGGCAAACCCTGTGTGAAGCCATCGGCTGATAGTTTAGGCGATACTCTCTTCAATGTCTTTGAATACTCCAAATCATTGTCAGATAAAACTATTAGCAAAAAAAAATAAATAAAATAAATATTTAATATTAGTTTATAATTAATAAATATTTAATATTAGTTTATAATTAATAAATATTTAATATTAGTTTATAATTAATAAATATTTAATATTAGTTTATAATTAATAAATATTTAATATTAGTTTATAATTAATAAATATTTAATATGTATAATACAAACCTAAAGCAATTAATACAAACAACAAAACTGATACAACTATTGAACGCATTGTTAATATAAGTAATTTTAAGTTAAATATAATAATTTTATTATTATTTAATTTATTTAGTAATGTTTTCTATTGAAAAAAATTATTAAATTCAATGTCTTTATATACATTAAAGTTTTATTGTTTTGATCTAATTTGATAAATATATTACAAATTGTTTAACTCAACAATAATGTAATAAATATTATTGTTTTCTTAATAATTATGAAATATTTGAGAAAAATAAAACAATTTATTAATATTTTTTAAAAACTAATATTCATATAAATTATATAATAAATTAATTATAAAATTAGTAATTAAATGTTAATAATTGTAAACATAACTAATTTTAATAATTCTCTTTAATAATAATAATAATATTTCAAATGAATTAAATTTGATAAAAATTAATTTATGATTATTACTGCCAAGGTAAATAATTGTAATTTTATTAGTATTTAAATATAATTTTTAAATAAATAAATAAAGTCATAAGATTGATAATATATTTTAATAAAAAAAAATTAACTTGAAATTAGATTAAATTATTTCAAATTTCATTTAGATTAAGCAATTGTTTATTTAAAAAAAATACGTGTTATATATTAATTTATTAAATAACATTAGTTTATCATATATTTTTTTATTATTATATAATAATACAATAAATACTATTTGTTTTTATAAAAAAAATTATCTAATAGTATATTAAATATAAATACTATTACTTTTTATTTATCTGTAATATTACAATGTTTAAACCTATGCCTAATTTAATATTATACATGTATATTAAATTGTATATATCTATCATAATTGAATTAATAATTGCAATAAAATTATGTAAAATTTACCTGTATTTATGTATTTATTTATTGAGATAAAAAAGTTGCTTACTTATTTTTTAGTGATTAAAATTGTAAACATAATAAATAAGTTTTTATTATTAATTAGATAAGATATAATTGTTTTTCAAAAAATAAAATTATTGCAACTAATAATTGAATTATATAAATAAGTAAAACAATTAAATTTTTTAAAGGTATATAAAGAAATCCAATTGTTTTAGAAAAAAACATAACTAAATATATAAAAAAGTAATTTATATTTTAATAAATATATAATTATTAACTTAATATTAGATTTTTTAATTATGCGTTCAATAGTTGTATCAGTTTTGTTGATGGTATTGATTGCTTTGGGTTTGTATTATATATATTAAATATTTATTAATTATAAACTATTATTAAATATTTATTAATTATAAACTATTATTAAATATTTATTAATTATAAACTATTATTAAATATTTATTAATTATAAACTATTATTAAATATTTATTAATTATAAACTATTATTAAATATTTATTAATTATAAACTATTATTAAATATTTATTTATTTTTGCTAATAGTTTTGTCTGACAATGATTTGGATTATTCAAAGACATTGAAGAGAGTATCGACTAAACCATCAGCCGATGGCTTCACACAGGGTTTGCATTCAAAATTATTTGACATTTTAATGTAAAATCAATCAACTAATTAATACCTACCGATCCATTCATAGGTCATATGGTTGTCCACAACAACAGCACTGGTATTAAATCAAATGACTGTTATATTTGTTCGAATCCCTGTTCAATGATCTACTGTTGCAGTGGTAGTCATCCTCAGTGTTGTGTTGTTGGCGGCTATTGTGGGTGTTGTAGTCGTTAATCATATTTTTTTTTTTTTGATAAACAATTGAAATAAACAGCACATTAATACTGTATATGTTATGCATTTAATATATAATTTATAAATTTTATTATTATATTATTTATGTAATGATTTAATTACAATTTCTACTTTATTATATAAATATATTTATTTATTTTTTAAATAAAAATTGATATATCATATTATTATTTAATTTATCATTTTATTTGACGTATTTTAGTTAATAAATGCTAGAATATAATAAATAGCATTTAATTAAGATTTAGTATTACATAATTAAAATTATAAATTATTTTCAGGCAAAAAATATTATTGTTAACTTAATTTAGTTTATTATCTATAATTAAATTAATTATTAAATAATTTAGTATCAAAAAAATCAAATTAATAACTGAAATAATTAATTTTATTAATTAAAAGTTTATTTAAATTTATAAAAATGTTAATTAATTTTTTCTAAATCTTTATTTTTTTAATTATTTTTTTCATTACTAATTACTTATTTAAGTTGTCTATATAAGTGTCACATAAATTTATAAATAAAAATTAAATAAAAATAATAAAAATATTATTATTATTTTTTAAAAAACATTACTATTGATAACTCGCATCTATATAAATAAAATAGTTTAACTTTTAATTAATTACTATTTTTTTCAACAACAAAATTAATAAATATATTAAATTTAGATAAATAAAAGTAAAATAATTTAAATTTAATTATATAAATAATAAAATTATTGTTATTAATAATTTATTATTATTTTTATTAGTAAAGTATGTTTACTTGATGATTTTATTTTGTAATTTATGTATTTGCTCAGTATTATCAAGGTCAATTTATGTATTCAATGGCAATTATAAACATTGTACAAAAATTTTACACAACAAATATGTCTGTTTTATTGTTTATATATTAAATAGATTATGTAATAAACATATGTTTTATTTGAAATTTTTTTTTTATTTTATATATTTTTTCTGTTATTAAAATTTATTGAAAATAAATAACAATATGTGTTAGTATTTTATTGTATTTTTTTTATACATTTTTATTTACATTTTATATAATTTATATATATATATATATATATATATATAATGTTATACATTAAAAAAATTATTATTATTATTATTATAATTTTATAATGTTTATGATAATGTAAAATAATTTTTAAAAATGATTGATTTTTAGTATAAATATTTTTAATTTGGTTATGTGTAAAGTATATATATATATAATTTAAAATCCTATTAAATTGTTATTGTTAAAAATTATTAAATTTTATTTATTTTTTTAATTATTTGATGATAATTTTTTTTTAAAAATTTTTTATTCACTAAATTTAAGTTATATTGAAACTATAATTATGACATACAGTTATATCAATATTAGATATATTTGTAATAAAAATGTTATCAATAAAAATAATAAAATACTGATAATAAAGTTTAAGCGATAATAAAGTGATAATATGTGTTATCATTATACTATTAATAGACATTTTAATGTATTAATGGTATTAATAAAAATAACATTTATTTTTTGATGTATAATATTTAAGTTTTATAATTTTTTTTTTTTGTAAAAATAATTGTATAATATTACCGGCAATTGTTTGATTTCATCACATAATATATAGATATACGGTATATATATATATATGGATCACAAATTGAAAATAATTATATCAATTATATTAATTAATATCGTTTACAATGTGTTCAACAATTTATTAGTTGTTAGCTATGATACTATTGATAATAATAATAATAATATAATAATAAATAAAACTACAAACAATCTAAGTGAGCTAGATCAATTTAGTCAACAACAAAATTTAACCAATGTATCATTATCATCACTATCATCATTATCAAACATCATAGACATAGCTACCGGTGCTGCAGATAATAATAATAAAACTAGTGAATCAAAAAAACGTGTTTTTCCCAAAATATTTAGCCGACTTCACGGTACGGTACTGACCATTGCATGGCTGGCCATTACGCCAATAGCCATTGGGTTTGGCCGCTATTTTCGCCGCGAAACTGAACACTGTTTTGGCCAACACTGGCTGCAATCGCACCGATGGCTTATGTATGCCAGTCTAGGGCTGAACAGTGCCGGTGCTCTGTTCATATACATGAGGATAGGCGGCTGGTCGGGGGTTAGTTAGTTAGTTAGTTAGTGATAGTCATATACTGATGATTATATTAACTAAAAAAAAATGTATATCTATTTTTTTAAAAAAAATAGGTACAGTTTCACACAGTTATCGGTGTCATAGCTATGACAATGGTATGTTTGCAGACATTTGTGGCCACATTTATGCGCCCGACGGTTGTCCGCCAGTTTGGTAAACCGTTTTTCAATTGGTCTCACTTTCTAATGGGAAACCTGTCGTACATACTATCGGGTAAATTATTCAAAAATAAATTATTAAAATAAATTATTAAATAAATTATTAAAATAAATTATTAAAATAAATTATTAAATAAATTATTAAATAAATTATTAAATAAATTATTAAATAAATTATTAAATAAATTATTAAATAAATTATTAAATAAATTATTAAATAAATTATTAAATAAATTATTAAATAAATTATTAAATAAATTATTAAATAAATTATTAAATAAATTATTAAAATAAATTATTAAAATAAATTATTAAATAAATTATTAAATAAATTATTAAATAAATTATTAAATAAATTATTAAATAAATTATTAAATAAATTATTAAATAAATTATTAAATAAATTATTAAATAAATTATTAAATAAATTATTAAATAAATTATTAAATAAATTACTAATAAATTACTAATAAATTATTAATAAATTAATTATTAATAGATTATTTATAGATTATTAATAGATTATTAAATAAATTACTAATAAATTATTAAATAAATTATTATTTATTTTTTATATAAACTTTTTTTGTTGTTGAATAGTTATAACAATTTATTGTTCACTGGATTATCGTATATTGAAGACTAATCGCCAGCAAATACTATGGCTATTGAATTGTATTGTTTTTCTGAAATTTGCTGCAATTGTTTGGTTTGAATTCAATTCATATAACAATAATAATAATAATAAAAAAAATAATAATATAAATCCTTTGTCTGTCGATTCGGTGACCACAACGACGACGACGACGACAACGATTGATAAAAGTGACCATAAATTTGACAATAAATTTGTTGATAACAACTATACGACGACAACTAAAGCCGATAACCTATTTGTAATTATTATTATTATTATTATATAAAATATTAATTTTTAAAAAATGATTTTTTTTTTATAAACCCTATCCACAGAAACAATCACCAAATGTATGGAAACTATTGTCAATGAAAACATCTATTTTGGTTATTATTGTATTGACAACTGCTATATCAGTATATATTATGGACCCATAATAATAATGGGTTATACAATCAATCAAACCCCCACCCACCCCACCCCCGGGGGTATGGATTTATTGGATGAATTGATTTAAATAAAATTAATAAACATATAGATTAAATAATTTATAGACTGTATAAATTTTAATGTAATTTACATAAATGAAATTATATACTGTATAATATATAATATATAAAAAATTGATTATATTTTTTGAATAAATCATTTATTATGTTTTATATTACAAATTTGTAGTATTTTTTATAATTTTTTAGTCAATTGGTTTTGTTTAATATATAAAAATATAAATTACAATTATTTTATTTTTTATAATTAATATTATATATCCAAAAGTTAAATAAAATAATAATAATAATAATATCAATAGTTTAGTTTAGATATAATTAGTTAATTAATTACTAATTATATTCAACAATATGTGCGGTAAATATACTTTTTTTTTAAAAAAAATTGATTTTAATTGTAAGCACGAAATTATGACAATTAATTTTTTTTTGTTAATCAATTCAAATATCAATTGTATTTTTATTAATAGATATTATTTATACATACAGTCATGTCATTGAAAAACAGGTATTAAATACTATAACACAAACAATCAAACAAACAAACAAAAAACATTTTAAATATTATAGTTGAATATTAAAAAACTAATTGTTTTTATTTTATTGCAAACAAATTACAGATTATTATTATTAGGTATGTTATACATACCATCGGCACCTGTATTGATGATATGGTCATACTATTGTCGTCAACAACAAAAACAGTCGTTCAGACAATGGATACAAACATCGAGTAGTAGTAGTAGTAGTAGTGGTGGTTTGCTATCCGATCCATGGATCAGATCGGTGTCACTGATAAACGATGACCACTGCGATGGTATGAATATTTTGCCGATTGTCAACTGGTGTAGAAAACCGGTTGTCATAATCGGTCGGCTATGTCTTGAGTGGACATTTCCGGCACTAATGGCTAACAAAAAATTTCCAACAATGGGTACCGGTTTTATTGTCGACAAATATACCGAAAACAACACTAACGAACCCATACTCATGGCAGTGACCAACCATCATGTTGTCAGCGGATTACCGACAGTGAGTTTGGCCATGTATTGGCAAAATTCATTGGATTACGATCTCTACGGTCGTGTGGTTTATGTTGAACAGCACCGGGATTTGGCGCTCATAGAGTTTTCGGTTACGTCCGATATGTTTAACAAAACAAAGGTAGTATTGGTAGTAGTGGTTGTAGTAGTAGTATAAGTAGTAGTAGTAGTAGTAGTAGTAGTAATAGTAGTAGTAGTAGTAGTAGTGATTGTAGTAGTAGTAGTAGTAGTAGTAGTAGTAGTAGTTGTTGTTGTTGTTGTTGTTGTTGTTGTAGTAGTAGTAGTAGTAGTAGTAGTAGTAGTAGTAGTAGTAGTAGTAGTAGTACTTGTCTATATTTTGTATATTAATAAAAAAAACTATATAAACTTTATTACCGGTAATTAATTTATGCTATATTATACCATCATCAGCCACTTGTACCTGAGCCCAATCGACCGGCCGATTTAGGCGATCCGGTTCTAGCCATTGGTCACGGACAGGTCGACTATAACTGGTCATCGGGTATTATACGATCGTATGGATGTACGTTACGCCATATAAATTCACAATACGATATACCCGTTGAATTTGAATCCGATGGTGACCAACAATTTGTCCAACACTCGGCACCGGTTGTTCCCGGTTTTTCTGGCGGTCCACTTGTCGATGACAGTTCCCAATTGGTCGGTGTCAACGATAATGCCAACATTATATTTAATATATTTTATAATATCACTGCTATGGATATTAATGGTTAACTAAAAAAAATTATTTGATAATATTATTTGATATACTACTGTCTTATAGTAATAATAGAATTATTTTATTTATTTTTTATTTTTTAATTAATAACATTAATGTATTTGATTTTTACATTTTGTTTGTTTGTATATTTGCAGAGTTTGTTAATAGAGGAAAATTGTATATTAAAAACAATAGTAGACGACAACAACAATTAATAATACCAATAGAGGACAGGTATAGATCGGTATCGGGATTCAAGTTAGGACTGATTGTCGAGAAAAACATCAAAAACAATATATTCTGTATTAAAGGATTACTTTATAAATCTAAGTTCAAGTAATTGTTTTTTTGTTATTGAAATTAATTAATTAATTAATTAGTAATTTTTAACTAAATTAAAAATATACTAAATTAGTTTATTAAGTCATAATCAGTATTTATTTATTTATTAATAGATATATAAATTGCAATATTCATACCGTTAATGGTGTCCAGGTTACAGATATCAAGCAATTCAATGATTCACTTATTGGTACTAATAATGATAATAATAATATTGATTTAGTTGTCTGGGAATCAATAGACCAAACGTATGGACAAAAATCGCAATTACCATCCAGACTACCGGTGCTTAACTATTCAGACACAGAGTTGCCAATTGTTTTCTAAAAAAAATAATATTAATTATTATATTATAGAGAGAGTTAAAACAAAATATTTCTATTAAATTTATATTTATAACACAATTATTATAAATATTTTTATTATTAAATATATAAAACATAACAAAATAATTTATTTATTTATTATATTAATGTGTGCGTGATTTTTGTTGTTGTTGTTAATTTAAAAAAAAAATTATATAATAATTATTATTATATATATAGTATTTAAGAAAATAATTATTAATATTTTTTTTTGTTTGACAATAAAAAAACAGTCATATATTGGAAATGTTTTTCAACTACAGGTATTAATTAAAAATATATATATATAAATATTTAATTGTATTATTATTATTAAATTATATTATTATTAATACACAGATTATTAAGTTTGTTTGGTATGCCATCAGCAGCAGTAGCGGCAATAGCTATACAGACATACAATAATAATAATAATAATTGGCTTAAACATAGACAACCATCGCTTAGACAATGGTTTCATACATCAAACAGTAGTATTGGTTTGTCATCTAATGGTCATTCATTGATGTTAAGATCGGTGAAGACACTGATGGATAATCATCATAATCGCCAACAACAGGCCATCGGCGGCGATGATATGGATTTTATTGAAATTTTCGATAATATCAAACAATCGGTATTTGTTTGCACCCAATACAGCAACAACAGTACCGGTAGTGGTACGGGATTTGTTGTCGACAACGATGGCGATTGTTATCATTTGATTGTAACCAACTATCATGTAGTCAGGGGTAGTCCTATGGTATTACTGGAAGACTATTTATGTGTATTTGATTACGACAACTATCCGTACGACTATTGTATTGTCGGTCGAGTGGTTTATGTTGAATTGGACATGGATTTAGCATTGATCGAGTTTGAAGATTGGGAACAGTTTCCAATACTACCGATAGTCAATTATGCTATCGATTTTGGCGATCCAGTGCTGACCATTGGCCACGGTGAACGTGATTTTAATTGTCATCCGGGTCTGGTCAGGGCGTACGGGTTTCGGGCCCGGGATATATCCGACTATTACGAACTGTTTCCCGAATGGTTTAAATATGGCGACCATGAATTGGTGGAACATTCGGCGGTAACTACTGGCGGTTTTTCGGGCGGTCCGATGGTTAACAGCGATAACCAAGTGGTCAGTGCCAATGAAATTCAAGTACGTCGAACTAATTACTATAATATTCCCGCCAATGATATTAATGGTAAGTACTTGGAATTTATACCTATTTTCCCTAGGAATTTATACCTGGGAACTTATAAGGGGAGGGGGGGAACTTTATGGATATTAAATGTGAATATTTTGTGGAATTTAAGGGAATTTTAAGGGAATTTTCTCATGATCCCTCCACCCCTACCCCACTTGATTTTGGATTTTTTTCAAAAAAAAATTGCTATTTAAAAATACAGTAAAAGTAGTTTGAACCCACCCTAGACCTCCCCACCGCCCAAGATTTTTAGAGAATTTTCTAAATTAACCCCACCCTAGACCATCACACACATACACACACACCCCCCTAAAATCCGAAACACTTGCTTAACCCTGATTAATATATAATTGTTTTTTTGTATTTGTTTTTTTTTGTTTTGTTTTATAATAATATATTAAATTTTATTACTAATAATAATCGCTAGAATTTATTCAAAGAGGACAACAGTATCTCTCTAGCGGTTTATGGCTAATACCTGAGGACAGGTATAGAGTTAGATCGGGACTAAAGTTAGGACTAATTATTGTTAAAGATTTTCTTGAAAATAATAATTATTATATTGTGGACGAAATTTGCAAAAATTACTGCCGGTATGTGATTATTAAGCAAAATAATATTTAAAAAAATTTATATATATTTTTTAAAATTATTATTATAATTGTTTCTCTGTCTGTCTGTCTGTCTGTCTGTCTGTCTGTCTGTCTGTCTGTCTGTCTGTCTGTCTGTCTGTCTGTCTGTCTGTCTGTCTGTCTGTCTGTCTGTCTCTCTCTCTCTCTCTCTCTCTCTCTCTCTCTCTAAGATATGCTAACCACCAAATTAAGACCATTAATGGCCAACCGTTTACTGATATCAGTCAATTAGGTGATGCACTCACTGATAGTCAAATCAATAGTTTAATTAAACTTAAATTTTTGGGTGGACTGTCAGCTGATCTACAGGTGCTTGACTATACTGACCAAGATTTGCCAATTGTTTTTTAAAATTGTTTTTTCCATATATATATATATATATATATATATATATAAAATATATTACAAAATATATAATTTAACTAAAATGCTGTTTTTTAAATGATTATACTGTGTTTAATATATTGTTATACAATTATCATTATATTCAATAAATAATTTAACCGAAAAATAATTTATTTAATTAATTAGCTTTTATTTATATAAATTAATAATTAACATTTTTTTTAATTAATCATTTTTTTAAAAGTATCGTTCAGAAAGTATTTATTATAATTTTGAAATAATATTGAAATAATGTAATAAATTATTAATTTAATGAATTTTATTATAATGTTTGTAATAAATATTAATAAATATAATTAATATTAATTTAGTAATTAATGTATTGCTAATGTTGTTCACAAAAATATACAAATAATTTTGTATTAAAAAATATAATTTATATTATATATCGATATATCATGGCTTGAAATGCCAACAATTAAAATAAAAGTGTTGAAACAATTTAAATATTAATGTATTATTTGTTATATATATATTTTTTTTGAGACATTGATTATATATATATGGTTTGTGTGGCACTACTACTACTACTACCAACTATTTAATGGTTAGTCAACTAATCAAATGAGATATTTATCATACAATACAGTCGTGTCGTTGAAAAATAGGTTTTAATAAGATTTTAATAAAAAAAATAAGTTTAATATATAATAAAAATAAATAATTTTGATTTCAAACACTATTGTATAGACTATTAGGTCTGTTATGTATACCATCAGCAGCTCTAGTGATAATGACATACAATCAACACCAACACCAACACCAACACCAACACCAACACCAACACCAACACCAACACCAACACCAACACCAACACCAACACCAACACCAACACCAACACCAACACCAACACCAACACCAACACCAACACCAACACCAACACCAACACCAACACCAACACCAACACCAACACCAACACCAACACCGATATCAACCGTTCAGTCAATGGTTTCAAACATTTCAAACAAATAGTTGGTTTGTGTCATCACATCCCAGTCGTCTAAGATCGGCGACAGCACTCATGAGGAATGATAGCGATGACGACAACATCAATATTACAGACACTTACGATAACTTTCTGACGGTTGTCGTTGTCTATCGGATTACTTATACTGATTGCGAAACAATTACTACATCCGGTACGGGATCGCGACTGGACGGCAACGACCTGTTGATTGTGACCAACGCTCATGTGGTGGCCGGTCGTCAGGAAATGTTTCTAACGGTAAACTATCAGCAAATGTGGAGCCAACTGATCGGCCGCGTTGTCTACGTTGAACAGCACCGGGATCTGGCACTCGTCCAGATCGACGACGACACTTCGGATGTGTTTCGTCCGCGACCACTGGCCGAACGTCCGGCTCAGTTCGGCGAACCAGTAGCCACTTATGGTCATTCGGAAACCGAATTTACAGCAATGGCCGGCTGTGTTATGATTCCCGGCTGTCGATTAGTCGACTTTATGGACGACTATAACATACCGTTATTGGTTCCCGATTGTAATAACCAACTAATACTAATTCATTCGGCTGTATCGGTTCCCGGCTATTCAGGCGGTCCACTGATGGATCGCCGGTCAAGCATACTGGCCGTCAACATTGCCTATAGTCCATGGCTTTACTATTTTAGTCAACCGGCCGAACAAACAGCTGGTATTACAGTACAAGCAATCAATTATATTTAAAATCATAGTTAAAAATAATACCATTTTTTTATATACAGAGTTTATAGAAAGAGGCAGAAATTATTTAAGAGGTTTAATAGCATTACAACAACACCAACAACAACAACAGCAAAGGGACAGTCGTGTATTGGAACCGGTATTAAAGTTAGGTCTAATCATTAGTTTGAATGATAACAATAGGCTTCATATTGTCGACACTATTGATGCTAACAAGTAATGTCTTATATTTTTACTTATTAAATAAAAATTATAATTAAATTTATTTATGATTTTTTTCATAAATTTTATTAACAGTTTAACCGAAATAATAAATAGAGAAATTGTATCAATTAATGGACAGCCGGTTAGCGATCAGATCAGTCAGATAACCGATACTATTAATAGTTGCAAATCTGGTGACAATATTAGTGTAAAACTTAGGGATAATGCGGATCAGGAAACGGATCAATCAATAGTTGTCCGCAATTTTATGCCCAATGAGTTACCCAATATTTTTTGATACAAAACAAAAATAATTAAGTTTATATCCAAATAATATATTTTTCTGCGTGTAATTTATTGAATATTTATTTAAATTTATAATTATATTTATTTGACTTATTTACTTAACATATAAATATATCTATTTTTTGTGGCTATATGTATAAATTTTATTTTAATAAATTAATACATATGTATAATAAAATTAATATTATTACATTCAATAATTAATAAAATATTGAAATTCATAATCATATACTAAAAATGTTATTATTTGTCAAATTATTTTTTTATAAATAAAATATAAATTATATATCATAGTTGTTATAATATAATATTTGTGTATTGGCTATTATTATTATTATAAATACCATGATAGTTTTTTTTAAAAAATATCATGTGATTATTATATTTTTATGTGTAGATTGATTGTACCCTGATGATGATGTTTCAATATTTTTAAAAAAAATGATTCAATGTTCATAATATAGTATATAATTAATATAATAATAATAATTCAAAATATTATATATATAGATATATTGTATATACAGTAATAAATTGTTTGTTTGATAAAATTGCTTATAAATAGTTTGCCCCCCACCCCCCACCCCCCAAAAAAACTGTATATACTGTATATACACTGTATAAACGATATATACGATACCATTAACAGGACATACCATCACTAATAATAATAATCACTAATAATGTCTTCAATAATAAGGCTATGGTTTTGGTGTTGCGGTAAGAAAACAGACAACGACAACGACGGCGGTGGCGGAGAGGGATTACTTGATAGAGCCGTCCGTATAACACGTACGGCTAGCGGACAGCCAGTCAACCAGAAAGTGTTGACCAATTTGCCGACCAAATTGCAAAACGAATCGGATCAGATTGAATGGCCGGTATACTGGCGCTACGCAACCAGTCCGCCGTATAATAGTTTATCGGTTGTTACCAATCGGATACTGTTGTCGAGTTACGGGGCCATCAATTCGGACGACGTACACAAAAACGATATCAAATGTATTGTCAGTGTTACCCATCAGACACCGGTTATCAACATTAGACGCGTCGAGTTTATTAGGATTCCGGTAAATATCTATCCGGTATATATATATATATATTTCATGCAAATTATACACAAATTTTTAACATTTAATAGATTGAGGACATGGATACAGAAAACATTGGCCAATATTTTGATGACCTAAGCAATAGGTTAATGGCTATGGAAGCCGTGGACAACAGGAAGATACTGATCCACTCATTGTTTGGTAAAAGTCGATCGGCAACTGTTGTCATCGGTATTATTATTATTAGTGGTAGTGGTAGTGGTAGTGGTAGTGGTAGTGGTAGTGGTAGTGGTAGTGGTAGTGGTAGTGGTAGTGGTAGTGGTAGTGGTAGTGGTAGTGGTAGTGGTAGTGGTAGTGGTAGTGGTAGTGGTAGTGGTAGTGGTAGTGGTAGTGGTAGTGGTAGTGGTAGTGGTAGTGGTAGTGGTAGTGGTAGTGGTAGTGGTAGTGGTAGTGGTAGTGGTAGTGGTAGTGGTAGTGGTATATCCAATGGAATGGAATATCCATTTCCTAATCAAATTTTTTTTATTTTAATATCTTTATATTTTTAGCACATCTGATGAAATCCCAGCGCATGTCACTGACGTCAGCGTTTGATTTTGTCAAATATTGTCGTCCAATAATACGGCTGAACAATGGTTTCCTAAGACAACTGATCCAATACGAGAAGCGTCTGTTTGGCAAACAGTTTACTAATCATACGATGATTGAGCAGAAAAATTGCAACCAAATAGTGGCCAACGCTTGGATAGCAAAGTATGACGGTTTGCCACAATTGGCCGCTAATATAAGCACTGATAGACAACTAACAACTATTTAGGGAGGGCTGGGCTCAGTTAGTTTTTTAAATATATATATATAATTATTATTACCATTACAATCTATATAAAAAAAACATTTTCATATTTAAGTTTAGTATATATATACAATTTTATATAATTATATAAAAATAATTACAGTATATACTATATACTTGATATAATTTATGATTAGCTAACTAGTAATTATCTGCACATAAAATTGTTATAACTATAGAAAAAAACAATACATTTATAATTATTCATTAAATAATAATAACAAAAATAATAATATTTTTTTAACATTAGTTTAAACAATATATAAAGTTTATATATATAGTATATACTAAAGTACAATATATAAAATACAATTAAAATCATTGAAAAGTCGTTGAAATCTAATTAAAATTAATATACTATTTAACAATAAATAAATTATTTGATTATTTATTTTAATTACAAACAATAATTGAATTCACGTTCAATAATGATATAGCAATCAATTGGTCAGTGATTTTCAAACATATCCAATGAATTACTGTTATATTTTTTTGAAACAAAACAAATGATAACTAAATTTTGTGCAAAGTTTGTGTCACTGGTTGTTGTTGTGGTCATCATTAGTAGTGATCAATCACTGTGTGATCGACAATATGTTCACAACAATCAAGAGATAGAGTTGACTAAAGTGGTTGTCATTGATCCCAAACACTGTAATACCAGTCAAGACATTGTAGTCTTAATTCTTAGTGCCGGTCAATCAACGGGTAAATACTTTGACTTTAGACAAGAGTTAAGGTCCGGTTGGGTCGGTGTCATGAAAAGCCGTAACATTGGTGTCTGGTTTGCACTCGGACTCAATAACAACCAAACGGTTAATGAAGAGCTGCTTATTGAGTCAAACAAGTATAACGATATCATTCAGTTTGGTTTTGTCGACAACTACTATAACTTGACACTCAAAGCCATTGCTATTCAACGATGGCTTCACAGATACTGTCCATCAGTAAAATATGGACTGAAAGCAGACGACGACATCTTCGTTAATGTCGACCTACTGTTGAAAGTGTTGTCCGACTTTGAGACCGGTATTAGTGGTTCTCTATTAAAAAATAGTTATGTTATCAGAGATGTTGGACACAAGTGGTATATACCGGAAAAGTATTTATCGCGCGATAAGTTTCCCGATTATACTATGGGTTCGGCCTATTTAGCGGACAACGTGACCAGAGATCAATTGCTTCGGCAACTGGACTCGTACAGAGCCGTCGAAGAATACTATGTTCTTGACATTGAAGATGCATTCCTGACCGGTATTGTAGCCGAATTGGCTGACATCAGGCGTCACGATAGCCATCATTTTCGACATGACGACTGTCAGTGTATACCCAGTTTGCATACCGTTCCCATACATTTCGAATGCAAACAACGATCGGACATATGGCGTGCATTTTTGGATGTATCCATGAATACTAGTGCCTACTGTAATAGTGGTCATTCCGTATGGCCGATGATTGGCCACCGAAGCCATCACTACTACTACTACTATAGCTTATCAGTAGTTTTAGTAATGTTTGCACAGTTAGCACTTTATTGATTATCTTATTTAATTAAATTATTTATATATTTTTTAATACTATTATAAATATAAATTTGTTTTTTATGAATAAGTTTACGACAACAACAAAAAATTGTTTCTTATAAAGTGTTTATATTTTTTGTTGAAAAAATTAATTACATCAACAAAATTAATAAATAAAATACAATTAATAAAAAATTATTTTTCATACATTTCAAGTATCTAACAGTTTTGTGTCAATAATTTTATTATTAAATTATATATTTTAGTTTTATATTATTTATATACAGTTATATATATATAGAGTTTTCGGTGTTTAAGGTTAAAAATTAGGTCAAAAATATATATTTATTGTTTTTTTTAATAAAAAAAAAATAAATTATAACTATTTATTTTAAGTTAAATGTTTGTTAGTACTCTGTTGGTAACTATAAAATTATTATTATTATTATTATTATAACAAAGTAACTCAATAGTTAAATATAAAAAAAAATAAATAATAACAAAATTAAATTACTGCCTCAAAAAAACAATTGAAAAATATTAAATTATTTATAAACATCCTGTAAAACATACAGTAAAAACGTTATGTAATAAAAACAATTTAATCATTAAATATACTGTATATAAACAAAATATATTATTATTATTATTATTATTATTGTTACTTAATCAAGGATTCAAACAACAAAATATAAATTATAATTAACTTATTTTATATTAATATTAAATTAGTTATATAAAGATTTATTATATATTAGATGTTTAATATAAATATTTGATGTAAAAGAAAATATTTAACAAAAAATAATTAATAATAACTAATTGAAATTAAAAAATAAATTTTGTTAAAAGTTTTTTTTTGTTGTTTAGTTTTATATAAATTATTTTTAAAACTAGTTTTTTCTACTTTTGGATAACTTTTTAATTAATTAATTAATTAATTTTTTAGTCAACATATCTGTCCAATTGATTCCTGTATTTTATTTTCCAACAAACAAATGACAAATTTATTATTAAAGTTAATGTCAATGATATGGATGTTTGTGGTCGTCATCAGTGGTCTATCAATGATATTGTGTAGTAAACGACAATATGTTCACAACAATCAAGAGATAGAGTTGACTAAAGTAGTGATCATTGATCCCAAACATTGCAATACCCGACACGATATGGTTGTCGTTATTCATAGTACCAGTCAATCAACGGGTAAATACTTTAACTATAGACAAGAACTGAGATCGGGTTGGGTCGGTGTCCTGAAAAGCCGTAACATTGGTGTCTGGTTTGCACTCGCACTCAATACTGACAACCAAACCGTTAATGAAGAGCTGATGATTGAGTCAAACAAGTATAACGATATCATTCAGTTTGGTTTTGTCGACCACTACTATAACCTGACATTGAAAGCCATTGCAATACAACGATGGCTTCATAAGTACTGTTCATCAGTAAAATATATGTTAAAAACAGATGACGACGTCTTCGTTAATGTCGACCTACTTGTGAAAGTGTTGGCCGACTTTAAGACCGGTATTAGTGGTTATCTATTAAAAAATAGTTATGTTATCAGAGATGTTGGACACAAGTGGTATATACCGAAAAAGTACTATTCGCCCGATAATTATCCCGATTATACTTTGGGTTCGGCAATGATTGCCGACAATGTGACCAGAGATCAATTGCTTCGGGCAGTGGACACGTACACAACAATTGCCGGCAATTATATACTGGACATCGACGATGCTTTACTAACCGGTATTATTGCCAACTATGCTAACATTACTCGTCACCATAGTTATCATTTTTCATTTGACTATTGTCATTGTCTAACTTGTTTGCATACCGTTCCCATACATTTCGAGTGCCGACAACGATCAGCCATATGGCATACATTTTTGGATGTGTCGCTGAATACCAGTGCCAACTGTAGTCATACCTTATCGCCGATGATGATTGTCGACCACCGAAATCGTTACTACTTTTACTACTACTACTACTACTACTACTACTTCATGTTTATCATGTATTTACTTGTATTGTCACTAATTGTTTATCTAATTAAGAAAAATAAAATTTTATTTCATTTATATATATATATATATAAACTGCATATTATGTATATTGTAAGGAAAGTGGGGTTACCACGGGTATATTTACTATATGAACACTCTATGAGTGCAACCCGTGATGTAAACCCTACTATTGCTTATAGACTAAGCCCTTACGTTGCCCTGCACGTACCAGCATTATTACTATAACGGTATGTGGCTTAAGGAGCGAGCGGATCTCCTATCACTGGTTGTGTGCAGAGCTATATGTGTTGATTTGGGTAGTATACAGTCGACCGACTGTTTTAGTCTATGCTGGTCCTTGCATAAACTATCCGTATAATACTACCGTACGGTACTGAACAAAACAGCATGCCTATTCAGGTTAGTAGGTCTGGACAGGTCAGTGGGCCTACCCTGGTCAGTAGGTCATCCGAGTCACTGGGTCAACCTGGGTCAGTGAACCTAACCTGGTCACTGTCAACTCGGGTCACTGGGTCAACCCGGGTCATTAGGCCTAACCGGGTCACTGGGCCAAACCGGCCACCGGGCCTAACCGGGTCAGTGGGCCTAATTGGGTCACTGGGCCTAATTGGGTCACTGGGCCTAATTGGGTCACTGGGCCTAACCGGGTCACTGGGTCAACCCGGGTCATTAGGCCTAACCGGGTCAGTGGGCCTAACCGGGTCACTGAGTCAACCCGGGTCATTAGGCCTAACCGGGTCAGTGGACCTACCCGGGTCAGTGGGCCTAACCTGTTATAGTCCAATGGTTGGCCAGTTGGTCAGTCTGACAGTAGACTAATGTGTCTAGTCACTTATTACTATATCTGAGCTAACCTATCATAGCGCTTACTTTTGCATACCATATAATAGGTTACTCAATAATAAGGTTTACTCAACGTCGTCACATGTCAACACTAGTCTTTGGTCGGACCGGTCAGATCCTACCGTGTAGCGGACACAGTACCGGAGTTCCCCTCTAAATAGTATTCGCTTACGTAATTAGTGGTCGACTTCCATCGGCGCGGCGTTCGATAGTTGTCCATTATGTTAACTGTAGCCTGTAGAACAAGGGCCTGTAGTGAACCCATATGTGATCCATAATGCCATCCGCGACGTAATCCATGGTGTATTTCCATGACTCAATCCATAATTTTATCCATGATGTAATCGTGGTCAGCTTCCATCAGTATAACATCTATAATGTAATTCATGATGCAATCCAAGTCCACCAGCCGCGACGAGTAAGTAATACACACAAAGTAATATGCAAATACTTTATTTCATCTTAGAAACAGTTATACACTGTAGCACTCCAAGAAGAGATCTCTCCCAGGAGAGCTCTCTGAGGAGAACTGATTTGGTGTCTGAGAGACACCTCTATTTATACTAAAGTGTACGTGAAAAATAATCAGGTCGTATTGAGTCAGCTTTAATCCCTGGGCGTAAACTATTCATTTTTCTGTATAACATTTCAATACATTATTTTAACTGTGAAATACAGAGTAAAAATAAAATATAACTTTGCTTAAAAGTAGGAGTTTACTATTCACTGTTCTGTATAACATTTCAATGCATTATTTTAACAGTGAAATACTAAATAAAAATAAAATAAAACTTTACTTAAAAGTAGGAGTTTACTATTCACTTTTCTATATAACATTTCAATGCATTTTTAAAATTGAATTTTAGAGTTTAGCATTAAACAAACCTTGGTTTGCAAATATAATTATTTAAATAAAAATAAAACTAAGAGTTGTGTTAAATTCACTTTAGTAAATTTAAACATAAACAAAAATCTCTTTTGTATTGAAATAATTATTATTTTAAAACATTAATCAGTATAATATTGAAATGGCCTTGACTACCTATAACAATATCTAGAACTTATAAAAACAACATATAAGTATAAAATAATACATTTATTAATTAGTTTAAAAATATAAGTTTTTTTTCAATTCAATTCAACTGTTATTGTCACTAATTATTTATCTAATTAACTAAATTAATATTTATTTTTATATATATTATTCTGTATATGTGTATAACTTATAGAAAAAAAGTTATTAAAATACTAAAAGTACAGTAAATAATAATTTTTATTATTAATAATAATAGTTATTATTTGTTTTTTTTATCTATTATTTTTAGCTCTAATTGATGTAATTGTGTTTAATTTAAATACACCTAAATATAACACTAATTTTTTTTATTAATATTTGTTTTTGTTTTATATGAAACATATTTAATTTGTTGATAATACTAAAAATTTAATTAATAAATAAAGTTTACTAATAATACATGTACAGTATATCTCATGAACTTATAATAATACAATAAATTTATTAAAAAAAATTTTTAAATTACATATTTATATAACTGTATTATAACTTATTTATTTATATAGTACTAAAACAAATCAAATTTAAACTATTATTGATCCTATAATCTAACGATTAATTAATTATCAATTAAAGAAAATCAGATCCAATGGTTAGTCATGAAAATAGTGACCACTTTAGTGATGAACAACTGGTGATTGTCGACACAGTTGTTAAACAAGACATCAGTATTGATGTGCCATTAAATAATGGTCAGTCAATCGACAATAATGTCAATAATTGTAGACCAAAGTTGTTGTCGTTGGATAAAACTAATGATAATATTAATAATAATAGTCATCGTTGTCATAGCCAACCAATGATAACCATTACCGTCGATGACTACTTCAAAGAGTATCAGTTGATTACCAGAGATCTTGAATCAGACAACGACTATAAAAATATGATCAAAATATTGGTCGACAAACAACAACAACAAGAAAATCAATTATTGTTTAAAAAATGATTTTTTACTTTTTAGTTATATATTTATAATTATAGTTTATATTTTGTTTTGTTTGATTAGATATTTATATTATATGTAAAATTTTTGTATTTTAATTTAACTGATCAATCATTTTATGAAAAAATTAATGAAAGAAAAAAAATTATTATAAAATTAAAACAATTTCTATTATCATAAACTATTATGAACTTATATATTATTTATTCAAAATACAAAAAAATACATTTTTTATTTAATTATAAAACGATTTTTATAACAAGTTTTATAATTATCAGTTGTAAATGCAAATTATACTTAAAATGTACAAAAAAAAAATTATTAATTGTATTTTATTTATTAATTTTGTTGTTGTAATTAAATTTTTCAAAAAAATATATAAACACTTTTTAAGACACAATTTTGTTGTTGTTGTTGTTAACAGATTGATTAAAAAAAAATTATATTTAATAATATAGAAAAAAATATATAATTTAATATAAACAATAAAGTGCTAACTGTGCAAACATTACTAAAACTACTGATAAGCAATAGTAGTCGTAATGATGGCTTCGGTGGCCAATCATCGGCGTAACGGTATGACTACTACTACTACTACAGTAGGCACTGGTATTCATGGATACATCCAAAAATGCACGCCATATGTCCGATCGTTGTTGGCACTCGAAATGTATGGGAACGGTATGCAAACTGGTTATACACTGACAATTGTCGCGTCGAAAATGATGGCTATTGTGACGCCTGATGTCAGCCAATTCGGCGACAATACCGGTCAGCAATGAATCTTCAATGTCGAGCACATGGTTTCCTTCAGCGGCTCTGTACGAGTCCAGTTGCCGAAGCAATTGATCTCTGGTCACATTGTCCGCTATATAGGCCGAACCTAATAGATAATCGGGATAATTATCGGGCGAATAGTACTGTTTCGGTATATACCACTTGTTTCCAACTTCTCTGATAACATCACTATTTTTTAACAGATAACCACTAATACCGGTCTTAAAGTCGGACAACACTTCCAACAGTAGGTCGACATTAACAAAGATGTCGTCATCTGCTTTCAGTCCATATTTTACTGATGGACAGTATCTGTGGAGCCATCGTTGTATTGCAATTGATTTAAGTGTCAGATTATAGTAGTGGTCGACAAAACCAAACTGAATGATATCGTTATACTTGTTTGACTCAATCAGCAGCTCTTCATTAACCGTTTGGTTGTTATTGAGTGCAATTGCAAACCAGACACCAATGTTACGGCTCTTCATGACACCGACCCAACCGGATCTTAACTCTTGTCTATAGTTAAAGTATTTACCCGTTGATTGACCGGCACTAAGAATTAAGACTACAATGTCGTGACTGGTATTACAGTGTTTGGGATCAATGACTACCACTTTAGTCAACTCTATCTCTTGATTGTTGTGAACATATTGTCGATCACACAGTGATTGATCACTAATGATGACTATAACTAACATCACAACCAATGACACAAACATTACTATTTTAGTTGTCATTTGATTTTTTTTGTTAACAAAATATAATACTATAGTAATAATAAAATTGATAATAAATACAATAAATTTATTTTAAAACTGTTATCACAATACTATTGCAAATGTATATAATTTTTTTAGTTTTATAAAACTAATAATTAATTATTAATTATGTAAATATTATGTAAATAAAACAAACTAATAGATTATTTATTTATTTTTATAATTTAAAATATTTGTAAGTTTATGTAAATATATTTATTTAATTAAGGTGTAAATAAATTATATGTAACTTAATATCTTTTTTTATATAATTTAATTAATAATTTTAGGGCGCCAAAAGTAAATACTAAAATTATTAAGTAGTAGTAGTAGTAGTGTTGGGCACTTGTATGGGCAACAATCGGCGATACGGTATGACTATAGTAGGAACTGGTGGTAATATAGTCAGTGGTTATATAGTCAGTGGTAATATAGTCAGTGGTTGTATAGTCATCGGTGGTATTCTTTGATATATTCATAAAGGTATGCCATGTCTTTGATCGCTGTTTGCACTCGAAATGTATGGGAACGGTATGCAAACAGGTTAGACAATGACAATAGTCAAATGCAAAGTGATAACTATCGTGACGTGTAATGTTAGCATAGTTGGCAATAATACCGGTTAGTAATGCATCGTCGATGTCCAACATATAATTTCCGGCAATTGTTGCGTACATGACCACTGCCCGAAGCAATTGATCTCTGGTCACATTGTCAGCAATCATTGCCTGACCGGTCAGATAATCGGGATAAATATCGGGCGAATAGTACTGTTTCGGTATATACCACTTGTGTCCAACTTGTCTGTAAACACCTTTATTTTTTAATAGCATACCACTAATACCGGTCTTAAAATCGGCCAACACTTTCACAAGTAGGTCGACATTAACGAAGACGTCGTCATCTGTTTTCAACATATATTTTACTGATTGACAGTACCTGTGAAGCCATCGTTGAATAGCAATGGCTTTGAGTGTCAGGTTATAGTAGTTGTCGACAAAACCAAACTGAATGATATCGTTATACTTGTTTGACTCAATCACCAGCTCTTCATTAACCGTTTGGTTGTTATTGAGTGCGATTGCAAACCAGACACCAATGTTACGACTTTTCATGACACCGACCCAACCGGACCTTAACTCTTGTCTAATGTCAAAGTATTTACCCGTTGACTGACCGGTACTATGAATAACGACAACCATATCGTGTCGGGTATTACAGTGTTTGGGATCAATGACTACCACTTTAGACAACTCTATCTCATCATTACTATGAATATACTGTCGATCACACAGTGATTGATCACTACTAATGATGACTATAACTAACACCACAACCAATGATACAATCTTTACTATTTTAGTTGTCATTTGTTTTATTTTTGTTACAAAATATAATACAGTAATTCACTGATATATTTGTCAAAAAAATGTAGTCAATTAAAAGTAATTGCAAAATAATAGACAGTTTTTTTTATATATAACAATCTAAATCATTAATTATTTAATATAATCAGTTGTATTTAATAATAAAATCGTTAACTAAACAAATATATTTTGAAATTTTTGAAAACTCTAACTGTTATTCAATTAATTGAAAGTTTTGCTGCACGTGTGTACAGTATGTATGTGTATTATTTGTGTGTATGTGTGTGTGTATGCATGTATGTATGTATGTATGTGTGTGTGTGTGTGTGTGTGTGTGTGTGTGTGTGTGTGTGCGTATGTGTGTGTGTATTCAAGTGAGCTATTGGTATATTGTTTATAATAAATATAATGCAAATGTATGATAATTTTTTTTATGTATAAATATTTATATTTAATAAAAAAAACTATTAATTAATAGTAGTAAATTGTACAATTAATAAACCCCAATAAATATTATTTTTATTTGAATTGTTTGTAATATTGAAGTTAAATTTGATATTGATATGTTTATATAAAAACATTTTTTTTATGTTTATATACCCGTATATACAGTGTATATATATATATATATATATATGAAAATTAATATCTTTTTTTATTAATTATAAGTTATTTGAATAAAAAAAAAAACAATTTACAACAAAAACAATAAATAGAAAATTATATAAAAAAAGTAATAGTAATGATGGCTTAGTCTGTAGGCAACTATTGAGGATACGGTATGACTACAGTAGGCACTGGTATTCATTGACATATCCAAAAAGTCGTGCCATGTTTTTGATCGCTGATGACACTCAAAATGTATGGGAACGGTATGCAAACAGGGTATTAGTAAACAGTTGTCATATGCAAAATGATAACTATGGTGACGCTCAATATTAGCATAGTTGGCAATAATACCGGTTAGTAATGCATCGTCGATGTCCAACATATAATTTCCGGCTATTGCTTTGTATGAGTCGACTGCCCGAAGCAATTGATTTCTGGTCACATTATCGGCAATCATTGCCGGACCGGACAGATAATCGGGATAAATATCGGGCGAATAGTACTGTTTCGGTATATACCACTTGTGTCCAACTTCTCTGAATACCGGTTTATTTTTGAATAGTATACCACTAATACCTGTCTTAAAGTCGGCCAACACTTTCACAAGTAGGTCGACATTAACGAAGACGTCGTCATCTGTTTTCAGCATATATTTTACTGACTGACAGTACCTGTGAAGCCATCGTTGAATAGCAATGGCTTTGAGTGTCAAGTTATAGTAGTTGTCGACAAAACCAAACTGAATGATATCCTGATAGGTATCCGACTCTATCATCAACTCTTCATTAACCGTTTGGTTGTTATTGAGTGCGAGTGCAAACCAGACACTAATTTTATGACTTTTCATGACTCCTACCCAACCCGATCTCAGTTCTTGTCTATAATTAAAGTATTTACCCGTAGATCGACCGGCACTATAAATAACGACAACCATATCATGACTGGTATTACAGTGTTTGGGATCAATGACTACCACTTTAGTCAACTCTATCTCTTGATTGTTGTGAACATATTGTCGATCACACAGTAATTGATCACTAATTATGACTATAACTAACACCACAACCAATGACACAAACATTTTAGTTGTCATTTAATTAACATTTTTCAAATACAACTACTAATATAAACAAATGCTTACAATTAAGACAAATATCAATTAATCGGTTAATAATAATAATAATAATTTATTAACAATTCGTATTTAAAATTCAAATAAATCTATAAAAACAGTATTAATAATAACTTTTGCTTTCACGTGCTATTTGTATTCACGTGCGCTAAACGGATAAATAAATTTTAATAAATTTATATAAATTTTTTGTTTGTTTATAAAAGTTTCGTTAATAAAAATTTTTTAAGTAATAAGTAATTATTATATAACTTTAGATATATGTGACTAAAATTATAGTTTTAAAGTTTTTTGTCTTAATTATTTGCATAATTTATTACATATAATAATTTATTGATTATTAATTTATTTTTATTATTTTTATATTATAGTATTTGTTATTTATCTATTAATTAATTTGTATTAATTATAATATTAATTAATATTAACAACCAGTGACACAAACTTACACAAACTGACACAAAGTTTTATATATATATAATTTAATTTGTGATAAAAAATAATTTGCAACAAAAACAATAAATAGAAAATTATTAAAAAAGTAATAGTAATGATGGCTTAGTCTGTAGGCAACTATTGAGGATACGGTATGACTACAGTAGGCACTGGTATTCATTGACATATCCAAAAAGTCGTGCCATGTTTTTGATCGTTGTCGACACTCAAAATGTATGGGAACGGTATGCAAACAGGGTATTAGTAAACAGTTGTCATATGCAAAATGATAACTATGGTGACGCTCAATGTTAGCATAGTTGGCAATAATACCGGTTAGTAATGCATCGTCGATGTCCAGCATATAATTTCCGGCTATTGCTTTGTATGAGTCGACTGCCCGAAGCAATTGATTTCTGGTCACATTATCGGCAATCATTGCCGGACCGGACAAATAATCGGGATAAATATCCGGCGAATAGTACTGTTTCGGTATATACCACTTGTGTCCAACTTCTCCGTTGACATCTTTATTCTTCTGTAGACGACCACTAATACCGGTCCTAAAGTCGGCCAACACTTTCAACAGTAGATCCACATTAACGAAGACATCGTCATCTGTTTTCAACATATATTTTACTGATTGACAGTACCTGTGAAGCCATCGTTGTATTGCAATGGCTTTCAATGTCAGGTTATAGTAGTGGTCGACAAAACCAAACTGAATGATATCGTTATACTTGTTTGACTCAATCATCAGCTCTTCATTAACCGTTTGGTTGTTATTGAGTGCGATTGCAAACCAGACACCAATGTTACGACTTTTCATGACTCCGACCCAACCGGACCTTAACTCTTGTCTATAGTTAAAGTATTTACCCGTTGACTGACTGGAACTATGAATAACGACAACCATATCATGACTGGTATTACAGTGTTTGGGATCAATGACTACCACTTTAGTCAACTATAACTAACACCACAATCAATGACACAAACATTACTATTTTAGTTCTCATTTGTTTTGTTTTATTTTTGTTGTTATAATACTGTTTTTAGTAATTCACTGAAAATGCAGACAATTAAGTAATTGCTCAACAATTGTCAGTTTAAATAAAATATAATTCAAAATTATTTAATTAATTGGTTTTATTAATAATATTATTATTAATATTCATGTGAGCTATTAATATATTGTATGTAATAAATAAAGTACAAATATATATAAATGTTATATATTCAATAAAATCTAATATAATAATAAAATTAATTGAAGTTTTATATTTATATTACATTATATTTGTTGTATTGTTTCTGAATTATATGAAATATATTTAACTAAATATGTTTTTTTATATATAAAAGTTATATAATATACATATATATAATTTAATTAATTAGATAAACATTAAGCGCCAAAAGTAAAAATAAAAAATCATAAAGTAGTAGTAGTGTTGGTCTCTGTAGGAAACTATCGGCGATACTGTATGACTATAGTAGGAACTGGTGGTTATATAGTCATCGGTGGTATTCTTTGATATATTCATAAAGGTATGCCATGTCTCTGATCGCTGTTTACACTCGAAATGTATGGGAACGGTATGCAAACAGGTTAGACAATGACAATAGTCAAATGCAAAGTGATAACTATGTAGACGAGTAATGTTAGCATAGTTGGCAATAATACCAGTTAGTAGAGCATCGTCGATGTCCAACATATAATTTCCGGCAATTGTTGCGTACGTGTCCACTGCCCGAAGCAATTGATCTCTGGTCACATTGTCAGCAATCATTGCCTGACCGGTCAGATAATCGGGATAAATATCTGGCGAATAGTACTGTTTCGGTATATACCACTTGTGTCCAACTTGTCTGAATACCGGTTTGTTTTTTAATAGCATACCACTAATACCGGTCGCAAAGTCGGGCAACACTTTCAACAGTAGGTCGACATTAACAAAGATATCGTCATCTGTTTTCAACATATATTTTACTGATTGACAGTACCTGTGAAGCCATCGTTGAATTGCAATGGCTTTGAGTGTCAGGTTATAGTAGTTGTCGACAAAACCAAACTGAATGATATCGTTATACTTGTTTGACTCAATCAGCAGCTCTTCATTAACCGTTTGGTTATTATTGAGTGCGAGTGCAAACCAGACACCAATTTTACGTCTTTTCATGACACCGACCCAACCCGACCTCAATTCTTGTCTATAATTAAAGTATTTACCCATTGACTGACCGGCACTATGAATAACAACAACCATATCATGACTGGTATTACAGTGTTTGGGATCAATGACTACCACTTTAGTCAACTCTATCTCTTGATTGTTGTGAACATACTGTCGATCACACAGTGATTGATCACTACTAATGATGACTATAACTAACACCACAACCAATGACACAAACATTACTATTTTAGTCGTCAATTGTTTTTTTTCGTTACAAAATATAATACTGTTTTTAGTAATTCACTGAAAATGCAGTGAAAATTAAGTAATTGCTCAACAATTGACAGTTTAAATAAAATATAATTTAAATATAAATTATGTAATTAATAGGTTTTATTATTAATAATAATAATATTCATGTGAGCTATTGATATATTGTATATAATAAATAAAGTACAAATCTATATAAAAAAAATTTTTTATAAATATAATTTATTAAAAGCTAATATAATAATAAAATTAATTGAAGTTTTATATTTATATTACATTATATTTGTTTAATTGTTTCTGAATTATAATGAAATATATTTAACTAAATATGTTTTTTATATATATAAAAATTATATTATATATATATATATAATTACTTAATTAGATAAACATTAAGCGGCCAAAAGTAAAAATACAAAATTGTAAAGTAGTAGTAGTGTTGGTCTCTGTAGGCAACTATCGGCGATACTGTATGACTATAGTAGGAACTGGTGGTAATATAGTCAGTGGTTTTATAGTCATTGGTTATATAGTTAGTTGTTATATAGTTAGTGGTTATATAGTCATCGGTGGTATTCTTCGATACATTCAAAAAGTTATGCCATGTCTCTGAGCGCTGTCGGCACTCAAAATGTATGGGAACGGTAAGCAAACAGGGAGTACATCGACAATTGTCATTTGAAAAATGATAACTATGCTGACGAGTAATGTTAGCATAGTTGGCAATAATACCGGTTAGTAAAACATCGTCGATGTCCAACATATAATTTCCTGATCCTGATAGGTGTCCGACTCTATCATCAACTCTTCATTAACCGTTTGGTTGTTATTGAGTGCGAGTGCAAACCAGACACTAATTTTATGACTTTTCATGACTCCTACCCAACCCGACCTCAGTTCTTGTCTATAGTTAAAGTATTTACCCGTAGATCGACCGGCACTATGAATAACGACAACCATATCATGACTGGTATTACAATGTTTGGGATCAATGACTACCACTTTAGTCAACTCTATCTCATCATTACTATGAATATACTGTCGATCACACAGTGATTGATCACTACTAATGATGACTATAACTAACACCACAACCAATGACACAAACAATTTAGTTGTCATTTAATTAACATTTTTCAAATACAACTACAACTAATTTAACAAATGCTTACAATTAAGACAAATATATCAATTAATCGGTTAATAATAACAATTTTTTTACGTATTTAAAATTCAAACAAATCTATAAAAACAGTATTAATAATAACTTTTGTTTTCACGTGTTATTTGTATTCACGTGCGCTAAACGGATAAATAAATTTTTTGTTTGTTTGTTTATAAATGTTTAGTTAAAATATAATTTTAATTAATTGTAATTATAGTTTTAAAATAGTTTTTTTTGCCAATACTTATTTTCATAATTTATTACATATAATTTTATTAACATAAATTTATTTAAATATTTTTATATTATAGTAGTTGTTATTTATCTAATTATTTTCTACTCTAAATTATAGATTTTTAATTATTATTTTATTAGACAATAAATTAAATTAACCAATGGTTAAGCAATGTTTAAAAAAGTATTAATTTTATTGATTAGTAATCACAATAATAAATGTATTCAATTACTATATCCATTGCTTTTTTAGTTTTTTTTAAATACTGTATTTCATAAATTTTTAATAATATAAAATAAATGTTTTATTTTATTTTATTATTTTGTTGTTTTATTGTTTTAGTAGTATATTAGGCATACCTATAATAGTAATTAAATAAAATAAAAATATTATACTAATAGTATTTATTTATAAATTGTTGAATTGAATAGAAAAAATACAATAAATTCAGAAACTTATTTTTTTATAAAAAATCAAATTAATAAATATTATATTATTTAACTTAAACTTTTTTTTCTATAAGTTATAAACATATACAGTATAATATATATGAAAATAAATATTAATTTACTTAATTAGATAAACAATTAGTGACAATAAAAGTTGAATTGAATTGAAAAAAAACTTATTTTTCTAAACTAATTAATAAAATTATATAATACTTATATTTTTTAAAAATAAGTTCTATACATAATATACAGTTTATATATATAAAAAAAAATTGAAATAAAATTTTAATTTTTCTTAATTAGATAAACAATTAGTGACAATACAATTAAATACATGATAAACATGAAGTAGTAGTAGTAGTAGTAATAGTAATAACGATTTCGGTGGTCGACAATCATCATCGGCGATACGGTATGACTACAGTTGGCACTGGTATTCATCGATACATTCAAAAATGATAGCCATGTTTCCGATCGCTGTCGGCACTCGAAATGTATGGGAACGGTATGCAAATCGGGTATACAGTGACAGTCGTCATGTATAATATGATGACTATCGTGACGAGCAATGTTAGCATAGTTGGCAATAATACCGGTTAGCAATGCATCGTCGATGTCCAGCATATAATTTCCGGCTATTGTTTTGTATGAGTCCAGTGACCGAAGCAATTGATTTCTGGTCACATTGTCCGCAATCATTGCCGCACCGGACAAATAGTCGGGATATTTATCGGGCGAATAGTACTGTTTCGGTATATACCACTTGTGTCCAACTTCTCTGTTGACATCTTTATTCTTCTGTAGACGACCACTAATACCTGTCTTAAAGTCGGACAACACTTTCAATAGTAGGTCGACATTAACGAAGACGTCGTCATCTGTTTTCAACATATATTTTACTGATGAACAGTACTTATGAAGCCATCGTTGAATAGCAATGGCTTTCAATGTCAGGTTATAGTAGTTGTCGACAAAACCAAACTGAATGATATCGTTATACTTGTTTGACTCAATCACCAGCTCTTCATTAACCGTTTGGTTGTTATTGAGTGCGATTGCAAACCAGACACCAATGTTACGGCTTTTCATGACTCCGACCCAACCCGACCTTAACTCTTGTCTAATGTCAAAGTATTTACCCGTTGACTGACCGGTACTATGAATAACGACAACCATATCGTGTCGGGTATTACAGTGTTTGGGATCAATGATCACCACATTAGACAACTCTATCTCATCATTACTATGAATATACTGTCGTTCATACAGTGGCTGATAACTAATGATGACTATAACTAACACAACAACAACAACAACAACAACCAGTGATACAAACTTTACAAAACTTTTTGTCATTTTGTTTGTTTTGTTGTTATAAAAAACAATTATAACATCATTTAATAATTTTAAAAATATCTACTATTTGAAAGATAAAAACAAAAAAATATATAATAATTTAATCGACAATTAAATCAATTCAAATCACAATTCAACAAATAAAATCCCAAAAAAAATAATTATAAAAATCTCTAATTATTTAAACCTTGCTTAAATAAACTTTGACTTGATTAAGTTTTCTGCTTACTCAGTTACATAATTTATTATATAATATTAGTATTATGTTATTTACAATGATATTAATAAAATAAATAAATAAATAAATAATAATACAGTAATAATAAATAATAATTAAAATCTATTTATCTAAACGTGAAATTTACTATTATTTTAAATTTTATTTTACAAATACATTACAAATCTCTTAAAAAACAACGACAATACTGTATATAATAAGTATTTATAAAATGAGATTTCATGTATAACCAAATAAGGTATTATTTATGATAATATTAATAATAAATTTATAAATATTATTATTTCACTTAAACCACTTTTAGGGGACAAACCTATAAACTATTAGGTGTGTTAGGCATACCATCGGCAGCGGCTGCGGTAGTCATACAATTGGCATACAATCGACGCCAACAACAACAACAACAATCCTCACGTAAACACCATCCGTCCAGACAATGGTTTACAATCATAGATGTATTAATGGTTTTCAATTATGATTATTAGATCCTCATCAGTGGTGGTGGTTAAGACATGCCAGAGCCCGGGCAGTCATTGGCGATGGTATTGATATCCGATATGTTTACGATGTTTGCCATAAATCGATAGTCATGTGCACACAAATCATCGCAGATATAGCGGATGAAGAACGCTATGGTAATTATGGTACAGGTTTTCGTTTGACCAGATCCGGTGATGATGATCTGCTAATGATAACCAATGCTCATACAGTCCAGGGATGTCCTATAGTGCTGATCGATGTCTACTATCAGAACCAATGGCTAGAATTGTACGGCCGATCAGTCTATGTTGAACAGCATCTGGATCTGGCACTCGTCCAACTGGTGGTGGCGGCCAACACTCGCGATGATGATTATGGCGTCTATAAACCCCAGTCGTTTGCATTGGCCAACGATCGGGTACTGGCATCGGATAAACTGGGCGACGAAATTGTTGCCTACGGTCACGGCGATATAGATCATACAGTACATCCGGGTATCGTATTAGCCACTGGTATGCCGATGAATACCGTATCCTTATCGGTAGGCGACTATCATGTATTGTTGGTAACTGTCGCTACTGATCAACAAGTAGTTGTCCATTCAGGACATTTGTTTTCCGGCTTTTCCGGCGGTCCCCTAATCGATAACCAGTTGAACATTGTTGGTGTCAATTGTTTCCGTGGCCTATATAATCGGCAATTTAGTATACCGTTTCGCTATTGTAATGCTAATACACCCACCCATACACCCCTCCCCCATATATCAATAATTTTTTGTTTTGTTTATGTTATTGTCGTACATATAATACATATGTATTATGAATACAGTTAGCGATGATTTGGTACCCAATAAACACTATAATTAACAATACATTCAAACAATAAAATATTTTCAGAGACAGTAATAACGTTTACAATGATTATGTAATAAATTGAAAACTTAGTACTATTTACAAGTGAGATTTTCCAGGGTTGCATCATGGACAATTATTTTTGATTATTTTTTATACATTTAGTATTATAAATAGGTATATAGAGTGAATAAATAATCATAAATAAAGTTAATATAGTATTTAAAATTTTTAATTTTAAATAATTAATTTATATTAAATGATATAAATTTTTGCTTTACTAAATTTATTAAAATATTGAAAAAAATATAATTAAAATAAATTAATCGGCAGGACTTTCCAGAATGGGCCGCGCCGGAGGCGCGGGTGGGTGGTATAGGTAGATAGGTCTTGATGTGTAGTAAGCATATGTAAAATATTAGGTGTCGCAAACTAAAGGTGAAAGAGTTATGGCATTTTGAAATGTTAAATTACATATAAAATACTGCTAAATAATGTATTCAAATGTATATTTTATCAAAACCTAACCTAATCTAACTGGATAATCTATTTAATTCATATATTTTTTTATAAATATATAAATAAATATTTTTTTCTAAAAAAATATATAAATAATTTTAATTTCTAAAAAAAATAATAATAAATATATTTTTATATAATATATAAATATATGGCTGGACTTTATTATATGGATCGCGAAGAAGGCGTGTGTGGGGGGTATGATGTTTGGCATGATGTTATTTCAGTTATTTCAGGTTAGGTTAGGTTAGGTTAGGTTAGGTTAGGTTAGGTTAGGTTAGGTTAGGTTAGGTTAGGTAAGGTTAGGTTAGGTTAGGTTAGGTTAGGTTAGGTTAGTTTAAGTTAGGTTAGGTTAGGTTAGGTTAGGTTAGGTTAGGTTAGGTTAGGTTAGGTTAGGTTAGGTTAGGTTAGGTTAGGTTAGGTTAGGTTAGGTTAGGTTAGGTTAGGTTAGGTTAGGTTAGGTTAGGTTAGGTTAGGTTAGGTTAGGTTAGGTTAGGTTAGGTTAGGTTAGGTTAGGTTAGGTTAGGTTAGGTTAGGTTAGGTTAGGTTAGGTTAGGTTAGGTTAGGTTAGGTTAGGTTAGGTTAGGTTAGGTTAGGTTAGGTTAGGTTATGTTAGGTTAGGTTAGGTTAGGTTAGGTTAGGTTAGGTTAGGTTAGGTTAGGTTAGGTTAGGTTAGGTTAGGTTAGGGTAGGTTAGTTTTTTATAAAAATACATTTGAATACATTATTTAGCAGTATTTTATATGTAAATTTGGCATTTCAAAACGCCATAACTCTTTAACCTTTAGTTTGCGACACCTAATATTTTACATATGCTTACTACTCATTAAGACCTATCTACCTATACCACCGAATATCAAACATCGAATATCTAATATCGAATATCGAAAATCTATATCGTAAATCTATATCGAATATCAAATATGGAAAATCTAATATAGTAAAATATAAAATATCGAATATCTAACATCGAAAATCTTATATCAAATATCAATCATCGTAAATCTAATATCGAATATCAAATATCGAATATCGAATATCGAAAATCTAATATCGAATATCGAATATCGAAAATCTATATCGTAAATCTATATCGAATATCAAATATGGAAAATCTAATATAGTAAAATATAAAATATCGAATATCTAACATCGAATATCTAATATGGAAAATCTAATATCTAATATCGAATATCTAACATCGAAAATCTTATATCAAATATCAATCATCGTAAATCTAATATCGAATATCGAATATCGAATATCGAATATCGAATATCGAATATCGAATATCGAAAATCTAATATCGAATATCGAATATCGAATATCGAAAATCGAAAATAGAAAATCGAATATCGAAAATCGAAAATAGAATATCTAATATCGAATATCTAACATCGAAAATCTTATATCAAATATCAATCATCGTAAATCTAATATCGAATATCGAAAATTTATATCTAACAGAATATCGAAAATCTAATTTCGAATATCGAATATCGAATATCGAAAATCTATATCGAAAATCTAATATTGAATATCAAACATCGAATATCGAATATCGAATATCTAACATCGAATATCGAATATCGAAAATCTAATATCGAATATCGAAAATCAAATATTTATCTATTATCTTATCTTAGCGTTGTCGATGATTACGGTTTGTCACAATTTACGTTTATAAACACAAATTACGTTAATGTACACAAATTACGTTGTTATACTAATATTACATTGATATACACAAATTATTTGATATACACATATTAAGATAAGTTAGGTTAGGTAAATACTAAATAATCTTAGTATAATAATGGGAAAATAACAAAAAATAATATATAATATTGTATTTTAGACAATTTATACAACATTTGTAAAACAAAAGTTTATTACAATAAAATTAATACAAACAAAATATATAATAACTTTGTTGTTAATAAAAATAGTAAATTACTATTGTAGATATTATTGAAAAAATAATAACATATAAAAAGTAATGATAATAGACAAATCAGTTATTAAATTAAATATAAAAAAAATAATAATACTGATAATAAACTAATTTTAATATTATAAACAAAACTAAAATAACAAACATACATGTAATAATCACATCTACTGTCAAAACAAATAATACATATAAACTATATTTGAAAACATTTTAAATGTATAAAAAAGATTACATTAATTTAAATGATAATAGTAATAATTAATTAATTAATTATTTAAATAAATTATAGATCTAGTATAGATTAATTATTTAAAGAAATTATAGATCTAATATAGATTAATTATTTATAACAAACTTTTTTATTATTTAATAATATTTAGATAATACAGTAATAATAAATAATAATTAAAATTTATTTATCTAAACGTGAAATTTACTATTATTTTAAATTTTATTTTACAAATACATTACAAATCTCTTAAAAAACAACGACAATACTGTATATAATAAGTATTTATAAAATGAGATTTCATGTATAAACAAATAAGGTATTATTTATGATAATATTAATAATAAATTTATAAATATTATTATTTCAATTAAACCACTTTTAGGGGACAAACCTATAGACTATTAGGTGTGTTAGGCATACCATCGGCAGCGGCTGCGGTAGTCATACAATTGGCATACAATCGACGCCAACAACAACAACAACAACAATCCTCACGTAAACACCATCCGTCTAGACAATGGTTTCCAATCATATATGTATTAATGGTTTTCAATTATGATTATTAGATCCTCATCAGTGGTGGTGGTTAAGACATGCCAGAGCCCGGGCAGTCATTGGCGATGGTATTGATATCCGATATGTTTACGATGTTTGCCATAAATCGATAGTCATGTGCACACAAATCATCGCAGATATAGCGGATGAAGAACGCTATGGTAATTATGGTACAGGTTTTCGTTTGACCAGATCTGGTGATGATGATCTGCTAATGATAACCAATGCTCATACAGTCCAGGGATGTCCTATAGTGCTGATCGATGTCTACTATCAGAACCAATGGCTAGAACTGTACGGCCGATCAGTCTATGTTGAACAGCATCTGGATCTGGCACTCGTCCAACTGGTGGTGGCGGCCAACACTCGCGAAGATGATTATGGCGTCTATAAACCCCAGTCGTTTGCATTGGCCAACGATCGGGTACTGGCATCGGATAAACTGGGCGACGAAATTGTTGCCTACGGTCACGGCGATATAGATCATACGGTACATCCGGGTATCGTATTGGCCACTGGTATGCCGATGAATACCGTATCGCTATCGGTGGGCGACTATCATGTATTGTTGGTAACTGTCGCTACTGATCAACAAGTAGTTGTCCATTCAGGACATTTGTTTTCTGGCTTTTCTGGCGGTCCGCTCATTGATAACCAGTTGAACATTGTTGGTGTCAACTGTTTCCGTGGCCTATATAATCGGCAATTTAGTATACCGTTTCGCTATTGTAATGGTAATACACCCTTACACCCATACACCCCTTCCTCCCTTACCCATACACACTGTATATTAACTGTATATATATTCAATATATTTAAACTACACAGATTTTATAGCCCGGGCCAGAAATTATACTAATTATATGACTGATAAACATAGACAACGAGATAAGGACATGTATTCAACAAAATTGTTAGGTATTATTGTTGTCGTAACCAATATGTATGGCCTTAACAACAGCAACACTGATGATAATAATAATAGATTTACTATTGTCGATATAATACCCGGATCACATTTTAAGTAATTATTAATAATTAATATAATTTATATTATATTTATGTCGGTATAAAACTGTTAATATTTTTTTGTTTGTTTGTTTAGTGACTACTATATTGGCAGTGATATTGTGTCCATAATCAGTGGACAACCGTTTACTAATATCAGACAATTGACTGACAGTCTCAAACATATTGATACAAAATTAACATTATTTGTTAGAAAACCTACCGTTCCCATAAATATTAGACTATATATACCGATTTGCACCTATGGTCAAAACGGTTTATTGCCAACTGTTTGCTAATAAAATAAACAAATAAATGCAAATAATTATATAACAGTATATATATATATTAATCTCAATAATAACTTAATATTTTTTTATTCATATAAATATATTTATTATATTTATACTTTTTTTAGTGTAATAAAATAAAGCAATGTGTTTATAATCAATATTATTATCATAAAAATCTATATATATATATAGTGACACATATGTAAGAGGGAAAAAATTTTTTATACAATATACAGTAAAGTAATTACCCTTACTTTCTACCCCCTCCCTCCCCCAATACCCTCTAGTCATTGAAATACATATACAAGTACTGTACTAGTAGTCAATTGAACGGTTAGTATATGTTTATGGACTGTCTGTTTTAATTATCGGTCACTATATTACTGTATTTTTTTGAGTGTCCGACCTATTAGTTGTTAAACTATTAATTAAAATGTCAACAAAATATATATATATATATATATATGAAAATTACAAACGTTTGGTGTGTGTGTGTGTGTGAAAAATGAGTAAATATATATATATAGTCATCAAAATAACCAATTTTTTTATCATTAAGTTTTAATTAATTAATAATAAATTATTATTAATAATAATACTATTGAATAGATTATATTCAATAGTATTACAGTATTATTGAAACATTAGTTTATCAGTCAAACAGTAGTAGTAGTAGTAATACTGTATTATGTTTTAAAACATAAAATTAAAATTTTATTTTAAGTATAGAATTAATGATGTTTTAGACAACTAATATAATACAGTAATAATTTTTTTTTAAAGTTTTAATTTTATTTATAATTAGTTAATACTTTTTTTTTAATAAAAATTGTTTGTTAATTATATACAATGTTTTTAACAACACATATAAATCATTCATTAAAAACCAAACAAACATAAAACATATTTTTTTAAACACTTATTTGAAAAAAAAAATCATTTTTACCCGAAACTGGTGGACACAAGTATGCAGTGATTATCGCAAATAACAACAACAACTATCACTACTACGACAACCAACTGATCCCTTATTAAATAAAAGACTGACTGATCCTTATTGTCCTCAACAACAGTAGTCCGCGGAAGTCATCAACCGATATGATGGCCACCACGACATCGATGACGACGACGATGACGACGACCCCGACCTCATGGAAGTCATCGTTTGATAGGTTTGGCGACGATATGGCCACCGAAATCCTACGCTATTTGACTACCGAAGATCACATACGGCTGGCCTGTGTGTCGAAACAGTTCCTCGATTGCGGTCTTCGTTTGCGCCGATCGTTGACCTTTGACCAGCAAATCTTGCAACGAATTCCACCGAAAAGCTATCATCAGTTGTACTACAATAGCCGTACCGTATGGCTAGCGTTGGCCAACAAATGTCCCGATAGTATTCACTCGATAGACATCCGATCGTTCGGCTATTTACAGACATATATTGTCAAAGCTATCGGCGAAGTCCGACAACTTCGCGGTCAACAACAACAACAGCTGTGGCCACGACTGCGACGATTGGATTGTGACCTAAACTATGTTAGCCGCGAGTCAATGGGTTCAATGATGGCCACATCAGCCGATCTGGTCAACGAAATGCGATTTGATTGGCAAATGTCTAGTCAACTGATCGAAAACATCAAACAATATGTACCGAAAATGTCACGTTTGAGGCACTGGTCAGTAGAGTCGATTGATGATGTGTTTGGCGGCGATGGTCACCAATTGTTGGCCACTGGTCTGCAGTCGTTTAGCTGTGAGTTGATCTGCAACGGAGGCGGCGGTGATGACGAAGGCGGCGGCGGCGACAACAACGATGAGGTGGAGGTCATTACCGACGACACACTTCGGTTCAAGACGTTTATCGACGGCAATACCAGTCTGACCAGTCTTAGGCTAACTGTTCAGCTCAGGCGTGGCTTAGCCGTCGAGCGTGTGGCCACTGTATTGGCCACTATTGGCCAATTGACTGCATTGCGCCGATTGACTGTACACTTGGATCGTCAGATCACGCAATCGATGGCCAAATCGTTGGAATTGATTGGTCAAAGTTGTCCGGATCTTCGGTGGCTGGACTACAAGCAAACAACCGAATCGGTGGCCACTTATTTCAAAACTTATTCGGCTGTCAAACAACAGTGGAAACAATTGCGCCGATTGTCGCTACGTTTGTATCTGTTAAACAACGACGACGGCAGCAGTGGTGGTGATCCCGATGCTAACCGACCGATTAGTTCGGATAGATATGAATCGTTGGCACCGTCAGCCAACTCGTGGCCAGAACTGAAACATCTAACCTTACAATTATCGCACTACGATTACCGACTGTTTGGTCGACGACATTTTGGGCAAAATCTACCGAAACTTGAATACTTAGCATTTACCGACATTGACTCAAAACTGTGGCCACTGTTGGTCTGCAACAGTGGCCAACTGATGCCTCGTTCACTGAAAACACTAAACTATTCGGTAAATTTAGGTTCAAATGTTATCGGCGACTCGGACGGTGTCCGCAAATTGTTAGCCGATTGCCGTCAATTGAAATCGTTGACTATTGACTGCTACGATAGTGCACTACCAGTTTGGTGGATACCGGAGCCGATTATCAAGCGATTACACAGTGATGATGACGATGACAGTAACCAACCGTCCATTAAGTCATTCATAAAGTTTTATTAATATCTAATTTTTTTTAATTGATTTCATAATTCATTATTTTTTTATATATTTAAATCTCTATCAGAAAAAAAAGTTTTGTTTATTTATATATATATTTTATTTTCTCATAATTTGTTTGTTTGTTTCATAAATATATTTATTTATTTATATCATATATCATATAATAAGGTTACGTAATATAGTCATTGATGATAATAGTTTTGTTTATTATAATTTTGTTTAAATAATTAATTTATAACAATTTGTTTTTGTTTATTATGATTTATTTTTTTTAAATACTAAATATTGGTTTGTTATAATTTTTTATTTAAAAAAATATGTTTTATAATACTGTAATATGATTTTCATTAAATCATAATTTTCAATAATAGTGTTATTGATAATAAAAGAAAACATTTTGTATCAAAATTTATTTTAAAAATATTTTTTTTATTATAATTATGTTTTTATTTATTGATATAATAAGTAAATTTAATTACTTGTTTGTTATATAGCATACGTAATTATATATTAATATATATATATATTAAGTTATTTTAATATTTTATTTATTTATCTATTTGTTTATTATTGTTACTCTACATATACCTTATATGTTAATTATAATAATTTTGGATTTATATAAAAATAATTGTTAAAAATCAATTTAACATTAACACAATTTTTAGTTAAGTTGGAAAAAATACTTATAATTTAGAAAAAATAAAATAAAAACTAGTTTATCCTTAAGTTTAATAATAATACTGTAATAATAAGGAAAAACCATTTTTGCTATTAAACGGGTTGAATAAAGGTTTGATATTTTATTTTTTATTTATTTATTTTAATTTATTATTTTTTTGGATTAAAAAATAACATTTTCAACACTACGTCTGTAAATCTCAGTTTCGTAGACAAGATATTGTAATGTTTTTACTTTTATGGATTCTGGCGTCAAATTAGCCAAAGTTTTGTCGACAATTGAATAATCGATTTTCAAATCTTTGAGAATCTGTATATAAAAAAAAATATTAATTAATTAATTAATTAATATTAGAATAATAATAATAATGTTAATTATATAATAATAATAATTATTATTTTTAATATTGTAATATTAATTAATTAATTAATTATTCAATTAATTGAAACAGATTGAATCAATTGAATAATTAATTAATTAATTAATTAATTAATATTATAATAATAATAATAATAATAATAATAATTATTATTATTATTATTATTATTGCTAAGTAAATATTTTAGCCAACAAAAAACAAGTTGTTGTTATTTACAGAAATATTTATATATATATTAAAAAAATAAATAAATTTTTAATATAAAAAATATTTATAAAATAAAAAAAACAAATATTTTTTATTCACTAACCATTTCATCATTTCTTAGCCAAAATTCCCATCTTTCGAGTTGTCTATCATTTTGGATCCACTTTTCATATGTTTCCATAACTTTGTTGCGGTTTAGCAAAAATTTTTCAGTCAATTCCCTGGGATCCGAACTCTGGACCAACTGTTCTATAGTAAACATTCTATGGCTAACCACGATTATGCAGTAGTATTTATTTAAATAATGTGTCCACTGGGCCCATATACGTACTAATCTATCATGTTGAATTTGATCCGATACTCTACCGATATCGGCCATCACCAGGTCATTGGTCAGGTGTTCATAATTACCGAATTTCGAGTACCGTTTGGCCATAAACTCGAGTCCTTCCCGTTTGAATGTCTGAATTTTTTCGTCAATCAGTTGGCATTTATTTTCAATATCCGATTCAATACTTTGAATCAATTGATCGTTTGATTTGGACACGAATTGCGGTCTCAGTTCGGGATATTGTTGTGGTTCTGGCCATAGATTTTCGGCTATAGATTCGACAGAATCTGTATTCAAAAATAAAAATAAAATATATATTTTTAATAATAATAATACTCTATGTATACTGTATATATATAGTGTATACATATATAGTTTATATATATATATATAGTGTATATATAGAGAGTATATATATATATATATATATATATATATATATACTGTATATATGATATATAATGTATATACCATTAACTAAACTATTCATTTTTCAATTTTTATTAAATTTGATTTTGTAGTTATAGTTATCAAAATATTTTAGTAATAATTTATAAATTACTATTATAACTAATGAATTTGTTTTTATAATTTACTTTAGTATTTATGCTTTTAGTAACTAATGATGATTATCACAAAAAAAATATTTTATAATGATATAAGATTTATTTTTTAAAGATATAGTTGTTTTGATAAACATAATGATAATGATAAACTTTAAAAATTATATTATAATCAAAATAATACAACTATTGCAAACATACAATATTTTTTAGTTTGTATTATTACAAATCATATATTAATAATAAAAACTTAATATAATTATAAAACTAACATAAAATTACTAATATTGGTATTGAAATATATATATATATATAAATTAGAAATTAATTATGCTTATTTATAATAATTTTTTTTAAAAATGTAAAATAATTTATGAATTAAAATAAGTTATTTGAATAAAAATGTTTTTTTTAAATACAATTATTAATTGAAAACAAAAATTTTACAGTAGTTTTAGTTTTTATTTTATAAAAAATACAATTACTAAATTGCAAATATTATTTTAATGACTATTAACTTATTTGTGTTCAAAAAAAACTATTATATATAATATCTAAAATAATAATTCAATTTATTATTAAAAACATAATAATATATTTATTATTATTATTATAAACTGTTTCACTATTATAATTCTAGAAATATTTAATAATCAATTTAATGCTAAAATGTTTGTTAATATATGTTTACATGATTTTTTTTATTAAAAAATTAATTTTCATAATTAGTTGTTATAGTTTATAACTATAAAACATATTTTAATTGCAAACAAAATTATTATTTTTTAAAATCCACTTAAAAAAATTAGTTAGCAATTAAAATAAAATCATTAGAGTCATTGTAATAGACAAATACAATGAAATCATTTTATTGATTATTTTTTGTAATAATTTTTATTATGACTATTAACTTATTTTCAAATTATTGTTTGAAAAAAAAACTTAATATTTATTTAGTTTCTCTAATAATTTTTGAATTATACTTGAATTATAATATTGAAAAAACATTAAATATGATTTTAGAAATAATTAATAATCAATTAAATGCTGTTAATTGTTTGTTGATAATTATTTTCATCTATATATTAGTAAAATTATTTTATCATTTTAAACCAAAACAATTAATTAGTTCAAATGGAAAAGCAGTACTTATTACAGGTATTTAATTAATTAATCATATTTTATAAAAAAAATATTTTCAATGTTTTTTTTAAAAAATTTACTAAAAATTTCTATAATTATTTAGTTAACTATTTCTTATGTGAATTAATTCAATTGTAAATATAGGTTGCGATTCAGGTTTCGGTAATCTATTGGCCTATAGTCTGAATGAACGAGGATTTCGTGTTTACGCCGCATGTCTTGACCCGAACGGCGGCATGGATTGCGGCGGACAAAGATTGGCCAAAATGTGTAGATTTACTGATCAAATGGTTGTCCTGAAAATGAATGTTACCGACGATCGAGAAGTACACGAAGCGTTCAATCAGATTACTGAGGATCTGGTGGCCAACAATTGTCAATTGTGGTCAGTGGTCAACAATGCCGGCTATATGATTACCAGTCCCGTCGAATGGGGAACACTTGACGACTACGAACCGCTGTTTGCGGTCAACGTGTTTGGTCTGGTTCGGGTCACACGTATATTCTTACCGTTACTACGGTCAGCAAAAGGTTAACCAAAAAAAAAAAAAGTTTTAATTAAAATCTAATTAAAAAAAAATTTTTTTTGTTAGGTCGGGTGGTAAACATGTCGTCACAAATGGGTAGACTAACGTTCAACAACTACAGTGCCTATTGTATGTCTAAAGCATCGGTAATCAGGTTTTCCGATTCGTTGAGAAAAGAAATGCAAACGTTTGGCGTACGGGTGGCCACTATAATGCCGGGCGGTTTCAAAAATACTGGACTATTGTCCAAAACAATTGAATCGATAGACACCGTTTGGCTGACCACTGCCGAATCGGTCAAATCGGCGTACGGACAGCAATCGTATGAACAATTGAAACGTAAAACCGTTAAGACATTTGAATCCGATTCACTGGTGTCAACCGATCCCTATATAGTGATCAACGATATGATCGATGCCATCATGAATACCGTTCCCCGCAATGATTACGAACCTATCGGTAACTTCAGGTTTCAACTATACTATCGCTTATACGTTATTTTGGGCCGAATTAAAACAAAATAATAATAATAATTTGAATTAGTCGGTAGTTTTGTGTGTTTCAGGTGTACTATTGATTACATTAATATTTTTTTTGGGCTAAAAATTATATGAACTAAGCTATTGAATAAAAAAAACAATTTTTTTGTTTAACAATTTATTGTTATACTCTATTTATATAATATATATATATATATATATAAATTATTTTTAATTATTAGATAATAAAAGTTATTTAAATAAATAAATTTGTTTATATTTTTTTTGAGGGGGTGGGTGGGTTGGTGGAGGGAAATAATACATTAAAAACATCATTAAAAAAAATCTTTAATGAAAAAAATTAAATAATAAATACTAAAATAATTTGATAGCTTTAACAGTTAATATGATTTTACATAAAATACTAATAATTTGTTTTTTTTTAAAAAAAAACATAATTTATCATAATATCACATATCTATCACTTTATAGAAATTTATAATTATTGTATATTTTGTTTAGATTTTAATATTTTTTTTAAAAAAAAACTGTAAGAGATTTTATAGTTGTTTATATGTTTTATATGTTTTTTATATTATTTTATTATTATCACATAAACAACTGAATGTTATTTACAATATATATTAGTTTTAAAGTAATGTAATGTTTAAAAAATCTATTGCAATTATAGGTTAAGTTTTTAATATAATTTAATTTTAAAAGTTTTAGTACAAAAAACAAAGGTGTTTACTTAACAAATATTATGTGATTGTGTTTTACAATGTAGTGGTTTAGTAATTGATGTTTTTTTTATAGCCAATAATATTGAACTTATTTAATGTTTTGTTAGTAAAAAATTAATTGTTATTTTTTTTATTGAGAAATAGATTTATTTGCGTAAAATAAAAATAATTGAATATTAGTATTTTTTTGGTTAACAAAAATGAAAGTCAGTCTAACATATAATTTTTTAAAAAAAATTTGTTTTATAATTTTTATATTGAATTATAATTTTAATGTACTAATGTTTATTAAAGTTATTTTATATAACTAAATTAGAAAATTAAAATGAAAATTAATTGCACTATAATTTATCTAAATCTAAATGATTTTTTTTATTTAAGTAATAATCATAATGTTTTGGCATTAATAATAATTTAATAAAATTTAAATTTGACTTAAATTAGAATAAATTAGATTTAATTTTTTAAATTTTATTAAATAGGGTTACAATAAAAAACCAGTTGAGATTGCTAGAAAGCATTTCCACACGAATTCCTAATCATAATTAAAAATTAAATTCAGTATGATAAAATAAAATCAACTATAGTTATGTAGGGTATCAAACGATTTAGTATGACAAAATAAACAACTATAGTCATGTGGGGTATCAAATGATTCAGTATTACAAAATAAACTACTATTTCCTAAAAAATAAACTTTAAAACGAAAAAAATAAAAAAAATTCAAAATTTTTTCAATTAATTTTTGGACACCATTTTCTTCAATTTCCTAAAAAATAAACTTAAATAAGAAAAAAAACAAAAAAAAAATCAAAAAAAAATTTGTAGCGGATAGTGGATTCGAACCTATGTCCTATTGGGACAGACAGACCGACAGACCGACAGACCGACAGACCGACTTATAGAATTCATATACGTATTCCTTTCAGGAATTCGTGATATGATTTTTTTAGATTTAGTTCAAATAAATGTATAATCATAGTTATACGTACCGTAATTTTATTTTTTATATATAGTGATAATGCAATTTATATATACAAACTAAATGAAAATTATTTCTAATAAATTATAGCTTTTTAATAATAAAAATTTAATTAATATTTATTATTATTATAAAGACTAGTAGTAGTAGTAGTTTAGATATTTTTTTTAAAAAATATTTTTAAGATTTAATCGAAATTATTATCAAAATAATACAGTTTTGCATTATATTATTTTATATTTATTATTATATTGTTTTTTTTGATTAATTAATTATTTTAATAGTCAATAAACATGATATTTAACAGATTGTTATCATCATTGCCGTCGACTATATTAACAAAACAAATTGCAATATCTTTAAAGTATATTAAAATAAATATGTTTTTAAAAAATTTATTAAGAATTTTCTAATTTTTTTAATTAAAAAAATATTGATTAAAATACATTAATTAATAAAATTTATTTTTTTTAACATTATTTTTTATATATAGCTTTAAACGTTTTAATAGTAGTTCAATGCCCGGACAAAAAATAGCAGTCAATGGCTTACAAATACATTATGAACGCATCGGTAACGGCAATCATACCGTCCTATTACTTCCCGGAGCTTTTGGTAATAATAATAATAATTAAATTATAAATAAATTTAATTTAACTTAATTATTATTATTTTTTTTAATAGGCTCTACACGTTTGGATTTTACAAAACAATTAACTGATACAAAATGGTTGGACAAGTTTACACTGATTGCATGGGATCCGCCCGGCTATGGATACAGTCGTCCGCCGGAAAAAAATTTTAACGATTTTTTCCGAACTGACGCCAAAATTGCCGCACAATTAATGCAGGTATTAAATAATAATAATAAAAGTAGTAGTAGTAGTAGTAGTAGTAGTAGTAGTAGTAGTAGTAGTAGTAGTAGTAGTAGTAGTAGTAGTAGTAGTAGTAGTAGTAGTAGTAGTAGTAGTAGTAGTAGTAGTAGTAGTAGTAGTAGTAGTAGTAGTAGTAGTAGTAGTAGTAGTAGTAGTAGTAGTAGTAGTAGTAGTAGTAGTAGTAGTAGTAGTAGTAGTAGTAGTAGTAGTAGTAGTAGTAGTAGTAGTAGTAGTAGTAGTAGTAGTAGTAGTAGTAGTAGTAGTAGTAGTAGTAGTAGTAGTAGTAGTAGTAGTAGTAGTAGTAGTAGTAGTAGTAGTAGTAGTAGTAGTAGTAGTAGTAGTAGTAGTAGTAGTAGTAGTAGTAGTAGTAGTAATTATTGTCTATTTTGTATATATTTTTTTAAAATAAAACTTAGACTAAAAAGTTTTATCTTAAAAATGTTAATTAAAATTATTTTTTTTTTATAGACATTAGCTATCGATAAATATTCATTGTTAGGCTGGAGTGACGGTGGCACAACAGCAATGATTTTGGCCGCCAATCAACCATTAAGTGTCCAAAAACTAGTAATCTGGGGCTCAAAAGCATACGTTAACGATAAAGACAGACAAATGTATGATAAGCTAAAAGATGCGGACAATTGGAATCCGAAAATCAGAAAAACGTTTAGCGATTATTATACGGAAAAATTATTCCTAAATTATGTTACATTATATAATAAATCGATAGTAAGTTATAGTGATTTTTGTACTAATGATATCAAACAGATACGTCAGCCGACACTTATACTTCATGGCGATAGAGATCCAGTGATGGGTATTGAACATCCATTTTATTTGATAAACAATATTATCGATTCAAAACTCTACCGGTTTTCCAATGGAAGTCATAATATTCATAAAGAATTTAATGACGAATTTCGGGAAATTGTTATCAAATTTTTGCTTTAATTAAAAAAAATGTATTTTTTGTTGTTGTTGTTGTTTAATCATTAAGAATTAAGGTTTAAAAATAAATATTTAAAACTAAAAAAAATAATAGTAGTAAATTATTAAAATATTGTAATTTGATTAAATCAATTATTATATATTAAAAATTAATTTAAATTATGTATAATTCATGCATTACTGTGTATATGCATGTGTATGTGTATGTGTATGTGTATGTGTATGTGTATGTGTATGTGTATGTGTATGTGTATGTGTATGTGTATGTGTATGTGTATGTGTATGTGTATGTGTATGTGTATGTGTATGTGTATGTGTATGTGTATGTGTATGTGTATGTGTATGTGTATGTGTATGTGTATGTGTATGTGTATGTGTATGTGTATGTGTATGTGTATGTGTATGTGTATGTGTATGTGTATGTGTATGTGTATGTGTATGTGTATGTGTATGTGTATGTGTATGTGTATGTGTATGTGTATGTGTATGTGTGTATGTGTATGTGTATGTGTATGTGTATGTGTATGTGTATGTGTATGTGTATGTGTATGTGTATGTGTATGTGTATGTGTATGTGTATGTGTATGTGTATGTGTATGTGTATGTGTATGTGTATGTGTATGTGTATGTGTTTCATATACAGTATATATACAATTAACTACTAATAATATGTTTAAGAAAAATATTAATATTAATTATAATACTTATTGTTATTTTAATTGATATATAGTAAGTAATTGAATTATTTTTAAATCAAAATAAAAGCAGTCAAAGTGTATAGAATTTTTTTAAAGATATTTTTTTATTATAGAGTAATAATAATTAAAGAAATAATCAAATATAAAAAATGAATTTAAAATATTGTTTTTAATTATATATTGAAATACTACAGTAAAAAAATACGAATAATATTAGTAAATAATAAATAATTAATAAATATTTAAACGTAATGATTTAAATAAATTAAACATCGTTTTATTATAAATAAAATAAAAATTATATATAAATTATGGTTTTATTTAACATTTTATTTTTATCAAATTTATTAAATATATATATTAGTTATACTATTAATTATAGCTAATAGCTACTACTTGTAAACAAATTTTTACTTAAAAGTATCTATAAAAATACAGTTATACTAAAATCAAGTTTTAAATAGAGTTAATTTTAAAAAAACAAAACAATTAAATAAATCAAATTAAATAAATACATTAAAAAACATCAATATTGAAAAATTAAATAATAAATACTAAAATAATTTGATAACTTTAACAAAAACTCCGTATTTAGGATTCATAGATAGTAAAGTAGTATTAACTGTTATGTTACCGATTTCGGTTCGCTGTCCCGGTTCCAGTCGATAGTTAAGCAACAGTTTAGCCAAACATAGTTTGATCTCAAAGTAGGCCAACCGTATGCCAACACAATTACGCGGTCCACTGCCGAACGGTTGCCAAGAGTACGGATGCCATTCATGCCGACGACTACCATCCGAACTGAACCTTTCGGGATCAAACTTTTCCGGTTCGGGCCAATAGTCCGGGTCGTGATGCATATAATAGGTGGCAAACTGTACGGCCGTACCTTTCGGTATCGTTATGTTTGTATCGATCGTGTAGTCAGTGTTGGCCTCTCGCGCCACAAACGATATGATCGGTGGATACAAACGCATCGTCTCATTGATTACACACTCCATGTACTCGAGTTTAGTAACCGTATTGTAATCGAGTCGACCATCAGTTTCATACAATTCCCGGACTTCCTGTCGGATCCTATCCTGAATATCTTGATTGTTGACCAGTATGTGTGCAACAAATCCCAGTGCAGTACTTGTAGTTTCATACCCGGCCTCATAAAATACAACACAATTAGCTTTGATTTCGTCATCAGTCAATTGAATGTCATTATGTTTGGCTTCTTTTGATTGACAGTTAGTTTTCAATTCTACTATATCTTCACAATTTATTTGTAGGTCAGTGCCGGTACCGCCGCCGCCGCCGCCGCCGGCAGTCAACAGTTGGACATTCAAACCAGCAAACTGTTGGTCAGATATTTTCGTCTCTAACATCAATTGTAACAAATCTTTTCGGTTTTGTTTTTTGTTAGACTTTCTTAAATCGATAACCAGTTGACACATATCCAAGAGTATACCGGTTGGCGATCGACCCAACAATCGATGATTGATTAGCTCTTCTAGACGTCGATACGGATATAATAGTCGATATAATTGTGGAAAACAATATCTAATCAAAGTATACCATTTGGCAAAAATACTCAATGATTTAAACTTATTTTTAACCGCTTTTATAAATTTGTTGTCCGAATCCAATTGGATGTCTGTTTGTATGCCGAACGCTGTCCGGCCGATAACATCGGCGGTCAATCCCTGAAACAGATTGTAAATATTGAAATCGTTTCCGTCATTAGTCGTCGACTGTTGTTTGTCAACCAGTTTTAAAAACGTATTAACCGAGTCGTCAATCAATGGTGTCATTGTCCGCAGTTTGGCTGAACTGAATGTCGGCGTCACTACCGATCGGATCTGTTTCCAGCGCTGACCACGACTTTTAGTTAGCGATCCGTTCATTACGGGTCGGTTGAAACTGAAGAAAAAGTCGGGTCTTTCGCTAAAATACTGGAAATCTTTGACCAAAATTTGTTTTGCGACGTCCGGATCGGCAATCAATACCATCGGTTGGACGCCGTAATAGAAACCGACAATTTTGCCGTATTTTGCGATCAAATATTTTTGTGTTTCAAATAATTTTCTAAATTTAAAATCAAATAAATTTCCATAAATTAGATGCGGTTTTGGACCGCAAATACCGTTTCGTTTCAATTGTGACATCCATTGCAATCTTCTATAATATTGAGATATTATTAATAAACAAAATACTATAATTATAATTATAATAAATGCTAATAAATATAATAACATTTTTTCCCAATAGTTTTTCTTTACTAATAATAATTATTATTATTTTTAATGTATTGTTTTTTTTAGGAAAATGTTTTTTTTCAAATAATAAGTTTATATATATATATTATATTATTATTATATATATATTATTTTCCTTTAAAATATTTTATTATATTACAATAATTAAGTTTATTTTATATCATTATGTTTATTTAAGTTTTTTTATATACATAAATATTTATATATTAAAATAGTAGTTTAATAATTTTTAATTATGATATAAGCAAAATTTATTTACTTATAAATTTATATATTGCTTAAATAATGTAAACATGATGATAGTTATAAATTATTAAAATTAATTAATTAAAATATTGTATAACTCATATACTGTATTAAAGTATTTAAAAATAAATTTTTTTTAAATAAAATTATTCATAATTAATGTTTCGATTTTATTTATATTTATATTATAGCAACTATTTGATAATAATTTGATTTAATTAATTTGATTTAAAAAAAATTTTTGATTAAAATAATTATTAATAAATACATTATTCATAATTTTTTTTAAATAAAAACAAAAATAATAGTTTAATTGATATAAACAATAAATTTATACAATTTAATAGTATTTTGTTAGTTTGTTATTTAAAATTGTCATAATTTTTTTGAGTTAACTTTTAATTCATACAGTATTTATATATATATATATATATATATATATTTATATATATATATATATATATATATATAGTATATATATTTAGCAAATATAAAAATTACGGTATAAATACAATGTTAATAAATTTCATAACTTAAAAAACATAAATAAATAAATAAGTATTTATAAATTAGGAAAACATATTTTTTAATTAAAAAATTGTTAATTTATTTAATTTAATTTTTTTTTTAGAAAACAAAGGGTAAACCTGTCGGACTATTTGTACGGTATTTGCAAACCTGTATTATTGGTTGCATTTTGACGGCAAATATATTTTCAATTAAATTTAATTGGATTTTTCCACTATCTCTCAGACCAGTCAATGTATCGGTAAATTGTCTGATATTTGTTAACTTGTGTCCATTGATATCAACAATTTCACAGTCAATATATAATTTACTACATGTTTATATATATATAACAAACAAACAATTAATTAATTAAAATTATTAAAATTAAATTAAAATCAACAAAACAAACAAAAAAATTATTATACGAGCAATTAGTTTCCGGTAGTATATCATCAATAATAAACCTATTGTTCAGTAGACGACGACATCCGACTATAATACCTAATTTTAGGCCCGATTTTGTGGCATAACTGTCCTCGCGTTTGGCATACTTTAGTCGAAACTCGTTTGTCATATACTGTTGGCCTCTCCTAATAAAATCTATCGATTGAACAAAAATAAAATATACAATAAATATAAAATAAACTAATTTACTAGATATACACCTCCCTCCCCCCCCCCAAAAAAAACTTTATGTTTTTTTATCAGCCTTACCAATGGTATCGGTGGAGGTTATGTTATAAAACAAATCAAATTCACAGCCAAGATCATTGACACCGATAATATTTGCCCCGCCGTCCACTAGTGGACCGCCAGAAAAACCGGGTACTATGCGGGCCGTATGACATAACATCAATAGGCCATCCCAGACATCGATACCGTCGGATACTATATACCAGTCGTCCATATCGGCAACTGCCGGACAACCGTACGCTCTGATAATACCCGGATGTTTGTTGTTGGCCACTTGCGAATGGGCAACCGATACAATTGGATCGCCCGGTGATGGTATCGGCGTCGGCCCACTACTAGTGTAGTCGGCCAGTGGTCGCGGTTGAAAATTATCGCCATAATCACCGTCGTCGACCCGAAGCCGGATAAGTGCCAAATCCAGTTGACGTTCAACGTAGACAACTGTACCGTACATTTCGCAGATACGGTTGTCATAGTAGACCGTCAATAGTATTGTATGACATCCGTTGACTACATGAGCATTGGTTACAATCATCAGATTATCGCCGAACAGTCGGACACGAAATCCAGATCCATGTTCGCCAACTGAGTCGATGTCCGCATCAAATACAGGTTGCGTACAGATAACTAAAGATCTTTTGCATACATCGATAATCCAATCGATATCAATATCGTCGCCGTCGTCGTCATCATAGCTACCATCATCTGTATCGTCATCATCAGCTGCTGTTGCATATCTTAGCCATGAATCGGATGGCAAACCACTACTACTATGACTACAACTAATACTTGATCTGTTAAACCATTGTCTTAAAGGCTGTTGTTGTTGTCGATTATTACGCCAATTGTATGCCTCATGTATTGTCATCCCTGCAAATGCTATACAACTACTACTACTACTGCATACTATACCTAATAGTCTGATCAAAAAATTTTTGTTTTATTAATAAATTCAATGATTAATTTGAGAAAACATTTTTAAAAATACAATGTTTAGATAATATCTAATAGATATCTAAATTATTATTATTATTATTATTATTTTTGTCATTAATTATTAACGATACCTGGTTTGATAAGATATGACTTTATTGAATAAATATCTCATTTTAAAATAATATACGACTGACCAGTCAGTAGTAGTGATACACAACAACACAAAAACAATAAAATCAAATAAATATATATACAGTATATACCGTATATAACCAATAATTACTGTCTATTTGTTTGCAATTAATTAATAGTATGATATAATTTGATTTTTTTTTTAAATAAATATATATATATTAAATTCATGTGTTTATTATCACGTGTAAATATAGTTATATTTAATTTTCAGTATACTTTCATAACTTAAAAAAAAATTATATAATTATATAAAGTATTTTTAAAATTTAGATTTTTTTAAATACAAAAATTTATTTATTATTTTTTTTTATTTAGAAAACAATGGGTAAACCTATCGGACTATTGATACTGTATTTGCAAACCTGTATTAATGGTTGCATTTTGACGGCAAATATATTTTCAATTAAATTTAATTGGATTTTTTCATTATCTTTCAAACCAATCAATGTATCGGTAAATTGTCTGATATTTGTTAACTGTTGTCCATTGATATCAACAATTTCACAGTCAATATATAATTTACTACATGTTTATATATATATATATATATATATAACAAACAAACAATTAATTAATTAAAATTATTAAAATTAAACTAAAATCAACAAAACAAATGTTATAATTATTAAACTTAAATAAAATTCAAAAAAATATTATACGAGCAATTAGTTTCCGGTAGTATATCATCAATGATAAACCTATTGTTCAGTAGACGACGACATCCGACTATAATACCTAATTTTAGGCTCGATTTTGTGGTATAACTGTCCTCGCGTTTGGCATACTTTATGGGAAACTCGTTTGTCATATACTGTTTGCCTCTCCTAATAAAATCTATCAATTGAATATATATATATATATATTATATAATAAACTAATTAATAGATAGACACCCCCCAAAAAAAAACTTTATGTTTGTTTGTTTGTCAGCCTTACCAATGGTATCGGTAGACGTTATGTTATAAAACAAATCAAATTCACAGCCAAGATCATTGACACCGACAATATTGGCCGCGGCATCGACTAGTGGACCGCCAGAAAAACCCGATACTATACGGGCCGTATGCGATAGCATCAGTTGGTCGGTCCAGTTGTATACATTTACCGAAATTGTATACCAATCGTCCATATCGGTAAGCGGCGGACAACCCAACGCCCGGACAATACCCGGATGTTTGTTGTTTGGCACTTGCGAATGGGCAACCGCTACAATCGGATCGCCCGGTGATGGTATCGGCGGTCCACTACTAGTGTAGTCGGCCAGTGGTCGCGGTTGAAAATTATCACTAAAACCTGTATCATCCATACGAAGTCGGATAAGCGCCAAATCTAGTTGCTGTTCAACGTATTCAACTGTACCGTACAATTGGACAATATGGTTAGCATAGTTGACGACCAACAATACTGTATGACATCCTTGGACTACATGAGCGTTGGTTACAATCAGCAGATTATCGCCGAACAGTCGGACACGAAATCCAGATCCATGATTACCAAACGAGTCGATGTCGCCGTCAAATTCAATTTGATTGCAAATAACTAATGATTTTTTGCATACATCGATAATCCAATCGATATCAATATCGTTGTCGTCGTCGTCGTCATCATAGCTACCATCATCTGTATCGTCATCATCAGCGGCCGTTGCATATCTTAGCCATGAATCGGATGGCAAACCACTACTAATACTTGATCTGTGAAACCATTGTCTGATAGGCTGTTGTCTTTGCCGATGATATTGTTGTTGTTGTCGATGAAGTTGGTGTCGATTATTACGCCAATTGTATGCCTCAAGTATTGTCATACCTGCATATGCTATACAACAACAACTACTACTGTATAATACACCTAATAGTCTGAAATTTTTTTTAAAAAAATTCAATGTTTAAATGTTTTTTTTTTTAAAATAGATTTTAATAATGTTTAGATATTATCTAAATTATTATTTTTATTATAATACCTGTTTGGATAACACATGAATCTATTAAATGATAAATATCTCATTTATATATATACTGTATATATATATATATATGACTGACCTCTCAGTAGTAGTAGTGATATATACAGAAAAAAAAATTCAAACAATATTTCCGATATAAATATATATTAATAATTTCAACAGTAATGTGCAATTTGTTTGAAATAAATTTATAGTATAATTAATTTGATTTTTAAAAAAAATTATATATATATTAATTTCATGTGTTTATTATCTCGTGTATAGAATATAATATTAAATAATATTATTTTATTTTATTTTTTTAATTATTAATATTATTATTAATTAAAAAACTGTATTATATATATATCTCTACTAAATATGTATACCAAATGTTTATTTTTGTTGACATAATTGTAATTATTTTTAAAACTTTTACAATAAACTAAATATATATTTTTATATAAATTTATATTTATTATTAATAAATAGATTTATTTTTTTAAAAAAAACCTTAATATAATATAATAACTAATAATTAGTAAATAAATATATAATTATATATTAATATTATATTAATTATAAACAATTAATTATATTTTATTTCATTATTAGTTTATTTTATTAATTATAAACAAAGTTTGTTAACAATAATTTTTTTTAAAAATTATAAGTAGTAGTAGTATAATGAATAAAAACTTATACAATAAATTTAATAAAAATAATATAAACTTATTTATTATATTAATATAAAACAAAAACCTACAAAAACCTGTATTTAATTATAAGATTATATTATAACAAAAATAATAATTAATTAAAATTAACTTGTAAATTTTAACTTATTTATGCAATTATTTTAAAATATTTTATATATTTATTTTATTTAGATTGAATTTTAAAAATAGGAAAATAAATAAATTAAATAATTTTTTTTCTAAATATTGATTATATTTTTTTGTTAAATTATTTATAAAAAAAAATTTTTATTAGGCATACAATAAAATCAAATTTATATCAACTATTTATTTATTAATAACAAAACAACAGTTTATAAAACAATTTTCAATATATTAAAATACAATAGGAATTGTTGTATAATTTTGGACCGATATTTTTGGTTGCATTTCAACACCAAATATACTATCCCTTAAAGTTAATGTAATTTTATCATTACTACTGATACCAGTAGTAGTCAATGAATCAGTCAATTGTCTCACATTAGTAAACGGCTGTCCATTAATGCCAACAATTTCACAGTCAATATAGTATTTACTATTTATAAAAAAATTATTACATTTATATATCATATAATAACACAATATTAATAACAAAAAAAATGCAAATTATAATTATTAGTATCATTACGAGCACTGGGATTGGAAAAGTAGATCCTCAATGATAAACCTATTATTGGTTACTATATTTCCAGCTAATATTATGCCTAATATTAGGCCCGGTTTTCTAGCATACCTGTCCACTCTTGACCTATAGTTAACGGGAAATATATGTTTCATATAGTGTTTGCTATTTTCCAGAAACTCTATGTATTAAAATAAAAACACATTAAATAAATAAATAATAATTATTTATTACAACCAACAAAAAAATGTCATCAATTTATTACCGCTGACATCACTGGCCATTACGCAATAATTTAGGCCAAAATCGCTGTTACCGAGATCGGTGACCGCAAATATGTGGGCATCGGCTGGTCGTTGGACAGCCGTATTGACCATCGGACCGCCCGAATTACCCGAAACCGTAACAGCCGAATGATAGACCATTAGCAGCCGATTGGCCACTTGAATTGTGTCCACTTCGTAGTAGCTTTGATTGACACCGTAGGCTGGACAACCTATGCCGCAAACAATACCCGTATGTACCGAATAGTCAATTTGGCCGTGACCTATTGTAGCAATTGGTTCGCCTAATCGGGGCAACCGAGTGGCCACTGGTCTCGATTTGAACTGATCAACATCATTGCCGCTGTCAGGCCATACTTGAATCAATGCCAGATCCCGGTGCGGTTCAACATAGACAACAGTGCCTAAGTGTTCATAGTAGGCGTTTGCGTACATCAATTGTGTGGCCACTAGTCGCGAACCGACTGCTATATGATAGTTGGTCACAATCAGTACACCATTACCGTCGCCGCCGTCGCGGCTGTCAATACGAAATCCTGTTCCCCGATTTTCTTGCGTCTGGTTGTCCTCTAATATAATTTGATGGCAGACGACAACCCATTTGTAACTGTCTATAATAATACGTCTAATGTCTACAACATAATCATCGTCTATGTCTTCATCGTCATCGTTGTCATCATTCATGAGTGGTGTCAACACCGCCGCTGCCGCTGATCTTAGCCACAGATTATTAGATGAAAATCTACTTAAACTACTACTTCTACTACTAGTTGTCGATATTTGAGACACTGATTGCTGACTAAATGGTTGATTGGTTTGCTGTCTGTTATTACTATTGGTATGTTTTGTTTGCCAACAATTTCCAGACATTATCATCACTACAGTTGTTACCATCGATGATGGTATGCATAACATTCCTAATAGTCTATTAAAAATTAAAAATACAATTAGAAATTCAATTCAATACAATATTGGGTCTAATATTTATATAAAAAAAAATTTATAAATTTTATATATTAGGACCTGTTTTTTAAACACATTAACTTATTTATTGAATATTTCATTTTAAATATATAAATCATATATTTATATTTCATATATAATATGACTGTTACACACAAATCATATTATAATCAATATCTGAATAATCTTTAAAATTAAATAAATTATTAATCTATTAATCAATCTCTAACTTTCACGTGAATGTAATTTTTTTGAGTGTTTTTTTTTTTAGTTATTTAAATTAATTTTGAATTATTTTACATTAAAAATAATTTCATTGATTATATAGTGATATAATTTTTGACGGTTTAGTCTACTATTAAAAAAAATAATTGAAATTAATAATATATATATATATATATATATATATATAGTTAAAAAATACAATTTAAAAATCATAGGACAGGTAAACAATGTGTATACTAATTGATGTATGTTTTTGGTGTTGCGTTAAGGATACTGACGACTACGACAACAACGTCAGTAGTGGTGGTGGTGGTGGTGGACAGGGATTACTCGATAGGGCCGGCCGTATGACACATACAGAACTGGGCCAACCGGTTAACGATAAACTGGTAACTAGTTTACTGAGTATAGAGGAACAGGACCGGGAAAAACTGGACTGGCCCAGTGATTGGCGATTGCCGTACAGTCGACCATTCAATGAGGTATCAGTGATTACCGATCGGGTATTGTTGTCGAGTGTCGGTGCCATTAATAGGGACAATGTTAGGCGGTATGGTATCAATTGTATTGTCAGTGTCTGTCACGATACACCAGTGTTCAAGTTAAAGGGCATTCAGTTTATTAGGATTCCGGTATATATACTATATATACAGTATATATATCAGGGTTGCTAAGGGTTTTTGATTTCAGGGGGTGTATAGGAGGGTAGGGTAAAATGGCAAAAAAAACTCCAAAAAGTTTGGGGGTGGGGTATAGGGTGAGGTGATCATTTTTTTATTGCATTTTTTAAAAGACTATTTTTTCCAAAATTGAGTAAATTCCCACTAAATTCCCACTAAATTCCCACTAAATTCCCTACTAAATTCCCACTAAATTCCCACTAAATTCCCACTAAATTCACACTAAATTCCCACTAAATTCCCACTTAATTCCCACTAAATTCCCATTAAATTCCCACTAAATTCCCATTAAATTCCCACTAAATTCCCACTAAATTCCCACTAAATTCCCATTAAATTCCCACTAAATTCCCACTAAATTCCCACTAAATTCCCACTAAATTCCCACTAAATTCCCACTAAATTCCCACTAAATTCCCACTAAATTCACTATAGATTTTTGATCTCAGGGGGAGGTGGGTAAGAGCTCTTACCCTGCCCCCTTTAGCAACACTGATATATATATATATAATATTGATTGCAAAAAAAAACTAACCGTCCGATTGAATTGTCTATTTTATTGTATTGTATTTTTTTTTGGTTAATTAATAGGTACAGGACAGTGACCAACAAAATATTGGCCAATATTTCGATGCTATAAGCAATAGGATAAGCGCTATCAGTGGCCGATACCCGACAAAGACAATACTGATTCACTGTGTGTTTGGCCGAAGCCGATCGGCAACTGTTGTCATCGGTATTATTATTATTATTATTATTATTATTATTGAGACAATCAAATACAATACAAACTATGATTGATATAATTAAACAAAACATAAATATTATATTTTTATGTTTATATATGTATTCAATAGCACATCTAATGAAATCCCAGTCCATATCATTGATGGCTGCTTACGATTTGGTTAAGTCTAAGCGTCCGATCATCGGTATTAACAATGGTTTTATGAGACAACTGATCCAATACGAAGATCAACTGTTTGGCCGTCAGCTGACAAATGTCGAAATAATTGTCGAGAAAAATAATGATAAAACAATGATCAATGAACTGATTGGGAAATATCAAAGAGAGGGGTCATTTTGATTTTTTAAAAATATATATTTAAAAATATATCACTAATATATACTGTATATTAAATAATATAAGATATATAAACTGTTTATACTCTAAATATTATATTTGATATTTGATAGGACAGTTAGATTTGTATTTTATTATAATTTTTTGTTTAAAAAATTATTATTAATAATACATTTATATAGTAATCATATTTAGCTGCTGTATTAACATTAACTATTTTGATAATAATATTTGATTTTATAATTGATTGTATTATTATTAATAATAATAATAATAATAATAATTTTTTTATATTGTATATCTATCAAATATTAATTGATATTTTTTAAACAAACAAACAAACAAAATTATAGTCAAGTTATAAATTATTATTAAAAGTTATTATTTGTATTGAACATAACTTTCTAGTATTTTTTTAATAATAAAAAAAATACAAAAAAATAATATGATTAAGCATTTTACTATTAAAAGTTATACCATATTAACAATAATTCTGATAAATTAGATTTTTAACAAAATTTTATTTAAGCTATCATGATTTTTGTGACGCATATTAAAAATTTTATAGTAAAAAAATTGAATTAATTAGCAATTTATTTAATATATTTTATTTAATTAGTTGTTTTATAAGTTTAAACATAAATCTAATCAACAACAAAAAGTGAACATTTTATATTTTATATAGTAATCAATTAATTTTGTTTAAATTTTTATTTTCAATTTCAATTATAAAATAATAATAACACAAAACATTTTTTCCAATTATTATAATCTGATTTTAAAAAAACCTATAATAAAATTTAAAATAAAATATTTGATTAATTAATTCAATTTTGTTAATATGGAGTCAAAATATATAATACGATCCAAATATTACAATGATGTCAATTACTTTACTAATAATTCAATTATTGATCTATGTATTGATAAACTACAATCTGACCCTGATAAACTTTATTTGGTATAATTATTATTAATATTATCTTTTTTTAATTAATAAATTTAATTAAAAATCCTTAATAATCATAATTTTTTTTAAAACTGAATAAGACTGACAGCGAAAGTGGTCGCAAATGGACAAGAGGTCAGGTATTAAAAATGGCCCTAAATTTTGGCCAATATTTGCGCCGAGAGTGTGGACTGGAAACGGGAGATATTGTTTGTTTGATTACATACAACAATGACATTCATAGTATGGCACTGTTGGGTGTTTTGGCAGCCGGGGGTGTCTATACTAGTTTACAAATGTCATCGACTGAAAGTTAATACAATAATTATAAATATAAATAATATTAATTTTTATTTAACTATAAGTAACTTTTTTTTAATTAATAAACTATAGATGAAATTCAAACTACAGTCTCAACAATTAAACCAAATATTTTGATTGGATTTGAAGGAAATGTTGCTTATTTAAAACAAATGAAACAAAATTTTGACTGCATCAAGGTAAAATCATATACAGTATATATATATATTATTAAATTATTTTATTAAATTTTATTTTTTAATAATTTTGTATTTTATTTATTTATTTTTATTTATTTTTTTGCAATTGAAGACAATTCTAATATTAAGAGAAATTACTAAAACTGATTACACGGACGACAACAACACCAATGAATTATTGATAACTAATTTTATAACAAACACATTAACAACAAATAAATTGTATACCGATTCCGATGATAACAATTGTTTTTTGCCGATTAGCCGATCGACAGACGATTGGGCGACATTGATAATGTCGAGCGGAACTACCGGCGCCCAAAAGTCTATTATCTGGACCAATGGCGAATGGTTGGCCAATATGTCTATTGTCGGACATAGGGACCAAAATCCAATAACCGGTGACGACATACTGTTAGCCCAGCTATACTGTCACGGGGCAGGCGTTACTAATTTGTTTAAATCGATAGCTTATGGATCGCAATTAGTTGTTAACAGTTCTGGTAGTAGTAGTAGTAGTAGTAGTAGTAGTAGTTTGGCTACTAATACAACAATTAATTTATTACATAAGTATCGGATAACCAGTTGTCTGGTCTTACCAAACGATTTGTTATATTTGTTGAACAATAGCCAGAAATATGATAAACAATACTTGCAATCTGTGAGCGACATACGGGTTATGGGGTCAGCACTAAGCGGACAACTGTACGACCAAATCAAACAGTTATATGGTTTTGAAAAATTTAATTCAATCTACGCTCTGTCAGAGTGTGGTATAGTTATGACTAAACCATTGAATAGCGAACAACATGTGTCGATACCAACCGATAGTATCGGTTGTGTTGTTCCCGGAATGGAAGTCAAAGTTATCGATGAAAGTGGCAATAGTTTGCCGGCCAATCAAACGGGACAGTTGTGTATACGCGGACCGACTGTAAGTGAAAATTATTAATAAAAAAAAATATTTTATTAATTTATTTTTTAAAAAAAAATTATATTGTTTTTTTATTATATTATTACTATATTACTATTATAATGTTAATTTTATATTTATTTTTATTATTATTATTATTATTATTATTATAGATAAAAGCCGGATATTATGGTAATAAAGATGTTTTCACTAATTTGTTTACAATCGATGGTTTCCTAATGACCGGAGATATCGGATATTATGATGAAAACGAATTCTTCTATTTTGTCGACCGAATCAAAGATATTATCAAATTTAATGGTAAATATAATAATAATAATAATTTTTTATATTTTTATTTCATTTTATTTTCTTGAATCATATATTTTAAATATTATAGTCAATACGGATTTCCAATATATAAATTATTAAAAAGATTATTATTTAATTATAAATTTTCTAATTAAATATTAATAAGTTTTTAAATGTTTTTAAATATTATTAATATTTTTTTTTGTTAGGAAAAATTGTATCGACGATAGAGTTAGAGAATCAACTATTGACTCATCCGTCCGTCGAAAGGGCGGCCGTTATCGGTATCGATAGCCAACTGTACGGTCAGATACCCATGGCTTTTGTTACACTGAATACCGGTGCCATCGATAAGGCCGGGGATATCAAAGAGTTTGTCAATAAACGAGTTGATGTTAACAAACAGCTCAGGGGTGGCTTAAAAATATTGGATAAAATGCCCTTGACCAGTTTAGGCAAAATTAATAAATCAAAATTGAAACAAATGTATATTTATTAAAATTTATTAGTTAAATTAGCATGATCAATTCAAATATCAATATATTATATAGTTTATATATCAATAGAAAATTTATATATCAATAGAAAGTTTAGTTTATATATCAATATATAGTTTATATATCAATATATAGTTTATATATCATATATATCAATACATTGATTATCTAATATATATATTAACGATATATTATTGGGTTAACCTATTATTATTATTATTATTATTATTATTATTATTATTATTATTATTATTATTATTATTATTATTATTATTATTATTATTATTATTATTATTATTATTATTATTATTAATGATATTATAATTACTAGAGATATGTATAATATTTGCTAAATCTTAACTATAATTGTTTACAAAAGTTTTAAATCATAAAATAAATAACTTTTCTATGGATTAAATGATATTAGGAAACGATTTGACTTAATTAGCAGATTATTGAATATATTATTATTTAATTAGTTGGTTTTATTTATTTAAAATATATTTATATAAATATAAACAAAAAAAATAAATAATTTTAAAATATTTTAATTATAAACATTTTGTTTGATATTGTAGTATTGAACACAACTAATACAAATATTAATTAATAATTTTACTATAATTTATTATAATTTAGATTTTTAATAAAAAAATTTATTTTTAACTATCATAATTTTTTGTTGTTGTGTAATATGTTTTTCTATGCAAAATTTTAACTATCATTGTTTAAAAAGTTTTACTAAATTTCTATTGAAATATAATCTTACAAAATTGAATTTAATTAGCAGTTTATTTTTAAGATATTTTATTTAATTAGTTGTTTTAAAAGCTTATATAAATCTATTATTTTATATAGTGATCAATTAATTTTATTTAAATTTCAATTATAAAATAATAAAAACACAAAACATTTTTCCAATCAGTATAATCAATTAAAAAAAATTACAATAAAACATTTGATTAATTTTTGTTGTTGTTAATATGGAGTCAAAATATATAATACGATCCAAATATTACAATGATGTCAATTACTTTACTAATAATTCAATTATTGATTTATGTATTGATAAACTACAATCTGACCCTGATAAACTTTATTTGGTATTATTATTATTATTATTATCTTTTTAATTAATTAATAAATTTAATTAAAAACCCTTAATAATCATTTGTTTTTTAAACTGAATAAGACTGACAGCGAAAGTGGTCGCAAATGGACAAGAGGTCAGGTATTAAAAATGGCCCTAAATTTTGGTCGATATTTGCGCCGAGAGTGTGGACTGGAAACGGGAGATATTGTTTGTTTGATTACATACAACAATGACTATCACGGTATCGGAGTTTTGGGTGTTTTAGCAGCCGGTGGTGTCTATACTAGTCTAGACATGACGTCAACTGAAAGTAATTATATATATATATATATATATATATAAATAATATTTAATTTTTATTTAACTATAAGCAATATTTTTTTGTAATAAATAAACTAATAGATGAAATTCAAACTACTGTCTCAACAATTAAACCAAATATTTTGATTGGATTTGAAGGAAATGTTGATTATTTAAAACAATTGAAACAAAATGTTGACAGCATCAAGGTAATAACTAAATATTTATATAATAATATATAACTATATAAATTTATATATATAAATTAAACTAAATATTAATTACTAAATTTAGTATTATATTTATATCACTAAATAATTTATAGATAATTATTTATAATACTAATTGCTATTATATCCCTATTTCTATAACTATTGTAATACTGTACTATATTAATGAGACAAAATAATATATCATATAATATTATACAATATAATAATTTATAATTATTATATGTATATTATTAAATCTCATTAATAAATCTGATTTAACCATAATTATACTACATGTACAAACACTACTATACAAAATGATTTGTAATTTTGTAATTTATAATATAATTATATATAATAATCATTTTTATTCATTATTTTATTATATATATCATAGTTTAATTTAATTTAATTAATTACTTTTTTTTGTTAGTTTAATTAAATAATTAAAATACTACTACTACTAATAATAATAATAAAATAGTTAATAATAGTTAAGTAAAATATAGTAAACTCTCTAGAACTTTCTCTATTATTATTTTTATAACTATATACAACAATAACTTATTGAATAATATAGTATTATAGTACAGTATAGTTAATAATTATTTTAAAAATATTTAATTAAATTTTATTTTTTTTTCTAAACAAAAGACAATTTTATTACATAAAAAAATTGCTAAAAATGATTACAAAACGGACGACACAGACAACAATGATTTATTGATAACTAATATTATAACAAACATAACAACAAATACGATACCAAATAAATCAGATACCGATTCCGATGATAACAATAGTTTTGTACCGATTAGCCGTTCGCCGGACGATTTGGCAACATTGATAATGACAAGCGGATCTACCGGCGCCCAGAAAGCTGTCATTTGGACCAATCGTCAATGGCTGGCCAATGTATCAATTAGACGTCATCCGGAAGTAATGTCGCCAACCGATAGCTATGCCGACAAAATCATATTAAGCCGACTGTACTGTCACGGGGCAGGTATACAAGCTTTGTTTCAATCGATAGTATTTGGTTGGCAAATGGTTGTCATCAGTTATCCGCCAGACATTAGTTTAGCCCACGACTGGTTATTCAATATATTACATAAATATAATGTTAGCAATTGTTTAGTTGTATCAAATGATTTAAGATATTTGTTGAACAATACAGACAAATATACAAAACAATATTTACAATCAGTCAGACACTACACTATTGTTGGCCAAAAAGTAAGCCAACAACTATACGATCAGACACATATATGGTTCAGAAAAGTTTAATATATCTTACGGTTTGACTGAATGTTTTGCAGTGACAACTAAACCATTGAGTAGACAACATGTGTTGACATCGGCTAATAATATCGGTTGTGTTGTTCCCGGAATGGAAGTCAAAATTATCGATGAAAGTGGCAACAGTTTGCCGGCCAATCAAACGGGACAGTTGTGTATACGCGGACCGACTGTAAGTGAAAATTAATAAAAATATATATAAATATATATATATATATTATATATATATAATATACTTTCAATTTTATTAATTTTTTGAAAACTATTTATAAAAATTTATTTTATTTTTTTTTTAGTTAACATCAGGATATTATGAAAATAAAGATGTTTTCACTAAATTTTTAACAATCGATGGTTTCCTAATGACCGGAGATATCGGATATTATGATGAAAACGAATTCTTCTATTTTGTCGACCGAATCAAAGTTATCATTAAGTTTTGTGGTATTAATAAATAATTAATTAATTTTAAACATTACTAATAAAATATTTATATTTTATAATTTACTCTAATATTAATAATAATATTTATTAATTTTTAAAAGGAATATCTGTATCGCCGATAGAGTTAGAGAATCAACTATTAACTCATCCGTCCGTCGAAATGGCGGCCGTTATTGGTATCGATAGCGAACTGTACGGTCAGATACCCATGGCTTTTGTTACACTGAATACCGGTGCCATCGATAAGGCCGGGGATATCAAAGAGTTTGTCAATAAACGAGTTGATGTTAACAAACAATTGAGAGGTGGCTTAAAAATATTGGATAAAATGCCCTTGACCAGTTTAGGCAAAATTAACAAATCAAAACTAAAACTAATGTATATTCAAAATACTTATTAGTAAAATTTGCATGTTCAGTTTATATATCAATATATAGTTTATATATCAATATATAGTTTATATATCAATATATAGTTTATATATCAATATATAGTTTATATATCAATATATAGTTTATATATCAATATATAGTTTATATATCAATATATAGTTTATATATCAATATATAGTTTATATATCAATATATAGTTTATATATCAATATATAGTTTATATATCAATATATAGTTTATATATCAATATATAGTTTATATATCAATATATAGTTTATATATCAATATATAGTTTATATATCAATATATAGTTTATATATCAATACATTGATTATCTAATATATATTAATGATATACTGTGTATATAATCATTGCAATAAATCTTTCTAAACTAACAAATGTTTTATTTGCTATGTAATGTCTTTGTATGCAAAATTATAACTATAATTGTTTTTAAAAAAAAAATTTAAATAATAAAACAAAATTATTAAATTTTTATTTAAAAAAAATAATTTTACAAAATTGAATTAATTGGCATTTTATTTAATATATATATTTTTAATTAGTTTTTTTTAGTTGTTTTAAAAGTTTATATAAATCTAATCTAAAAAAAGTACAATTTATATTTTATTCAGTAATCTATATATTTTGTTTAAATTTTAAAATTTCAATTATAAAATAATAACAACACATTTTATTATCAATATAGTCTGTTATTAAAAAAAAAATCTAAATATTATTAAACGTATAATAGTATTAAATGTTATGTTTGCAATGTAATGTTTTTGTATAATAATTTTTAACTATCATTGTTTAAAAAGTTTTACTAAATTTCTATGGAAAAATAATTTTTAAAAATTAAATTAATTAGCAGTTATTAATTAACTATAAAATATAATACATTTTGTTATCAGTTTAGTCAAATCTACAATAAAATATAAAATAAAATATTTGATTATTTATTTTTAATATGGAGTCAAAATATATAATACGATCCAAATATTACAATGATGTCAATTACTTTACTAATAATTCAATTATTGTATTGAAAAACTACAATCTGACCCTGATAAACTTTATTTGGTATTATTATTATCTTTTTTTATAATTAATAAATTTACTTAAAAACCCTTAATAATAATTATTATTATTTTAAACTGAATAAGATTGACAGCGAAAGTGGTCGCAAATGGACAAGAGGTCAGGTATTAAAAATGGCCCTAAATTTTGGCCAATATTTGCGCCGAGAGTGTGGACTGGAAACGGGAGATATTGTTTGTTTGATTACATACAACAATGACATTCATAGTATGGCACTGTTGGGTGTTTTAGCTGCCGGTGGCGTCTATACTAGTCTAGACATGTCGTCAACTGAATGTTAATTATATATATATATAAATATTTAATTTTTATTTAACTATTAGTTAATTATTAATTTTTTTAAACATAAATAAATTAATAGATGAAATTCAAACTACTGTCTCAACAATTAAGGCAAACATTTTGATTGGATTTGAAGGAAATGTTGTTTATTTGAAACAATTGAAACAAAACTTTGACTTCATCAAGGTAAATCTAATTTAATACAAAAATTACTAACTAATTATAATATCTTATGTATTAAATATAAATTGTGCTATTTATCCAGTATATATATATATATATGCAGTATATTTGTTTAAATAGCTTGTAAAATATGTTTATGCTAAAAATAAAATAAAATAAAATTACGATTTAGTAAACTATTTTTGTGGTGAAACCTAAACATAACTATTATAACTATTATTTTTATTTTATATATACAGACTGTATTTAAGCAATTGAATTTTATATGAAAATTAAATAGTTTTTATTGTTTGTAGTTTTCTATTAATTTTCACGAATTCCTGAAAGGAATACGTATATGCATTCTATAAGTCGGTCTGTCGGTCTGTCTGTCTGTCTGTCCCACGAGGACATAGGTTCGAATCCACTATCCGCTACAAATTTTTTTTTGAATTTTATTTTTGTTTTTTTTCTTATTTAAGTTTATTTTTTAGGAAATTGAAGAAAATGGTGTCCAAAAATTAATTTAAAAAATTTTGAATTTTTTTTGAATTTTTTTTTGAATTTTTTTGAATATTGATTTTTTATTTTTTTCGTTTTTAAGTTTTATTTTTTAGGAAATTGAAGAAAATGGTGTCCAAAAATTAATTTAAAAAATTTTGAATTTTTTTTGAATTTTTTTTTGAATTTTTTTGAATATTGATTTTTTATTTTTTTCGTTTTTGTTTTATTTTTTAGGAAATTGAAGAAAATGGTGTCCAAAAATTAATTTAAAAAATTTAGATTTTTTTTTGAATTTTTTTTTGAATTTTTTTGAATATTGATTTTTTATTTTTTTTGCTTTTAAGTTAATTTTTTAGGAAAATAGTAGTTTATTTTGTAATACTGAATCATTTCATACCCAACATGACTATAGTTGTTTATTTTGTCATACTAAATCATTTGATACCCTACATGACTATAGTTGATTTTATTTTATCATACTGAATTTAATTTTTAATTATGATTAGGAATTCGTGTGGAAATGCTTTCTAGCATTCTCAACTGGTTTTTTATTAATTTCATAATATTTTATTTGCTTATTTTTGTTTTGAATTTGTTTATATATTTAATTATTATTATTATTATTAATTTTAATTATGCTTAACTGATTATTACTATTTATAGTATATATATATAAGCCTATTATAGAAAATTGACCCTAAAATGACATTCAATAGTATTAATTATAATATAAATATTTTGTTGACAATTTAGTTTATCTATATATATATATACCGGTATATACAGTATATATATTTATATATAGATAAACTAAATTGTAAACAAAATATTTATATTATAATTATATATATATTTTTTTTTTGAGAAATATATTTTAATTATTTTTTAATTTTGTTTTGCTATTGAAGACAATTCTATTATTTAAAGAAATTGCTAAAAATGTTTACCCGAAAGACACGGACAACAACAACACCAATGATTTATTGATAACTAATGTTATAACAAACATATCGACAACAACTACGACACCAAATAAATTGTATACCGATTCCGATGATAACAATAGTTGTTTGCCGATTAGCCGATCGCCGGACGATATGGCAACGTTGCTATTGTCGGGTGGATCTACCGGCGACCAGAAAGCTATCGTATGGACCAATGGTCAATGGTTGGCCACTGTGTCCATTGCCGGCCACAGGGAATTAGTGCCGCTAACCGGTAACGACATACTGTTAACCGACCTATACTGTCAGGGAACAGGTGTTATTCATTTGATTCACTCGTTAGTGTTTGGATCGCAATTAGTTGTTAACAGTTCCAGTAATATTAAGAGTAGTAGTAGTAGTAGTGGTAGTGGTAGTAGTGGTAGTGGTAGTGGTAGTGGTAGTGGTATTGGTAGTGGTAGTGGTAGTGGTAGTGGTAGTGGTAGTGGTAGTGGTAGTGGTAGTGGTAGTGGTAGTGGTTTTAGATTGTCAAGCAATATAATATTTGATTTGTTACACAAGTATCGGATAACCAATTGTTTTGTCGGACCAAACGATTTGTTGTATTTGTTGAACAATAGCCAGAAATATGACAAACAATATTTGCAATCAGTCCGCGACATACGTGTCACTGGGTTTGCTATAAGCGGTCAACTGTACGACCAAATCAAACAGTTATACGATTTTGAAAAATTCAATATAATATACGGTCTGTCAGAGTGTGGGAGAGTAACCACTAAACCATTGAATAGGAAACAACATGTTTTGTCGATACCGTCCGATAGTATCGGTTGTGTTGTTCCCGGAATTGAAGTCAAAATTATCGATGAAAGCGGCAATAGTTTGCCGGCCAATCAAACGGGACAGTTGTGTATACGCGGACCGACTGTAAGTGAAAATTAATAATAATAAATATTACATCACTTTATTAATTTTATTTCTAGAAAAAAATAAGTTATTATTATTATTAAATGTGATATTAATTACTATTATTTTTTTAGCTAACATCAGGATATTTAGGTAATAACAATGTTTTCTCTAAAATGTTAACAAACGATGGTTTCCTAATGTCCGGTGATTTGGGATATTATGATGAAAATGAATTTTTTTATTTTGTCGACCGAATCAAAGATATTATCAAATTTTATGGTATATATATATATAAACAATAATAATATTTTTCTATTTATATTTTATTTTTTTGAACCATAGTTTTCCAGATTTAGAAACATTTTATAAAAATAAGAATATATAGAGTATATATATATATATGTTTATTAAAAAATTATTTATTATTTTATTTAATTTCTAATTATTATGTTTATTATAATTATAACTTTTTTTTTAAAAAAAATTTCTTTAAGGAGTAATAGTATCGCCAATAGAGTTAGAGAATCATCTATTGACTCATCCGTCCGTCAAAATGGCGGCCGTTATCGGTATCGATGATGAACTGTGCGGTCAGATACCCATGGCTTTTGTTACACTGAATACCGGTGCCATCGATAAGGCCGGGGATATCAAAGAGTATGTCAATAAACGGGTTGATTTCACCAAACAATTGAGAGGCGGCTTAAAAATATTGGATAAAATGCCCTTGAACAGTTTTGGCAAAATTGACAAGTTAAAATTAAAACAAATGTATATTGTTAATACTAATTAATAAAATTTGCATGTTCAGTTTATATAGCAATATATAGTTTATATATCGATATATAGTTTATATATCGATATATAGTTTATATATCGATATATAGTTTATATATCGATATATAGTTTATATATCAATATATAGTTTATATATCAATATATAGTTTATATATCAATATATAGTTTATATATCAATATATAGTTTATATATCAATATATAGTTTATATATCAATATATAGTTTATATATCAATATATAGTTTATATATCAATATATAGTTTATATATCAATATATAGTTTATATATCAATATATAGCTTATATATGAATATATAGTTTATATATCAATATATAGTTGTTATTATAATTATAAATTATTATTATATTATTATTATTATTGATATAATAATATAATATAATTATATGTTTGTGTAATGATTTTTGTCATTCATTTCAATAGATGATTAATTAATTTTTGTAAACTAACAAATGTTTTGTTTGCTATGTAATGTTTTTTGTCTAATAAATTTGAAACTATCATTGTTTAAAAAAGTTTTACTAAATTTCTATTGAAAATTAATTTTACAAAATTGAATTAATTAGCAGTTTATTTAATATATATTATTTTCAATTTTTAGTATTTGATTAAATTTTTTTTTGTTACTATGGACTCAAAATATATAATACTATCCAAATATAACAATGATGTCAATTATTTATTCAATTACTAATTCAATTATTGAAATTTAAGAAAATATTTTATAATATTTAAATAGTTTTATTTTAATCTAAAATATAATTTTTTTCTATGTATTTTTTTTAAAAAAAAGTTTTATTAAATTAAAATAAAATTAGTTGCACTTTACATATAAAAATTTAAATGATTTTTTTAATAATAATTTTTATGTTTTGCAATAATAATATCTTAAGATTTTAAGTATTAAATTAAGAAATTAATGCAATTATTATAAAAAAAAAATAAACAAAATTATTTCTAATAAACTGTAGTTTTTAATAATTTAATTTAATTAATATTAACAATTTAACTAATTAAGCTTAATAGTAGCTAATTAAATATTATTTATATAATAATTATTTTTATTATTTTTTTGTTAAGTCAATACATTAACTTAACAGAAAAATAATATTTTTTTAAATATGATTTTTCTTATATATTATTATAATTATTAATTATATAATAATCATTAGAAACTTTGCATGCTAAAACTATATTTTAACTATCATTGTTTAAATTTAAAAAAAAAATTAAATTTAAAAAATTGAATTAGTTAGCAATTTAATTAAAAAAATGTTTTATTTAGTAATCAATATATTTTGTTTAAAATTTCAACTATAAAATTATAACACAAAAATATTTTTCTAATCATATTATAATCTATTTTGGAAATAACTATAAACTATTAATAAAATATTTGATTAAATTTTTTTGTTGTTAATATGGAGTCAAAATATATAATACGATCCAAATATTACAATGATATCAATTACTTTACAAATAATTCAATTATTGAATTATGTATTGAAAAACTACAAACTGATCCTGATAAACTTTATTTGGTATTATTATTATTATTCAAATAAATCTAGTTTACATAATAATCACTTAAAAATCCTTAATAATCATAATTTTTTGAAACTGAATAAGACTGACAGCGAAAGTGGTCGCAAATGGACAAGAGGTCAGGTATTAAAAATGGCCATAAATTTTGGCCAATATTTGCGCCGAGAGTGTGGACTGGAAACGGGAGATATTGTTTGTTTGATTACATACAACAATGACATTCATAGTATGGCACTGTTGGGTGTTTTGTCAGCCGGGGGTGTCTATACTAGTTTACAAATGTCATCGACTGAAAGTTAATACAATAATTTATAATAATTAATATTTAATTTTTATTACACTATAAGTAATAATATTTTTTTAAAATTGTGATAAATAAACTAATAGATGAAATTCAAACTACTGTCTCAACAATTAAAGCTAATATTTTAATTGGATTTGAAGGAAATGTTGTTTATTTAAAACAATTGAAACAAAAATTTAACTGCATCAAGGTATATATTTATATATATATAATCGGTAGTATTCATAAGATCTAAACTCATTTGACCCAAACTTATTTAACCCAAACTTATTTGACCGAAATATTTATTATTTTATTTTTTCAAACTATAATTATATATAAATAATATAAAATTTAATAATTTTATTTAATTAATTATATAAATAAATTAATAATCAATTTAATCTATAAAATAATTTAGAACTTTATAATATTTATTTATTACATATTAATTTTTTTTTTAAAAAAGCCAGAAATATTCCCAATTATTAAGTTTGTATTATTCATATATATAATTATATAGTTTGAAAAATATAATTATAAATATTTGGTTTAAATAAGTTTAAGTTAAATGATTTAGATCAAGTGATTTGGGTCAAATAAGTTTGGGTCAAATGAGTTGGGTCAAATAAATATGGGTCAAATGAATTTGGGTCAAATAAGTTTGGGTCAAATGAGTTTAGATCCTATGAACTAGACCCATATATAATACTAATTAATTGTATTTAATTGTATTTATTAATTTTGTTTTGCTATTTAAGACAATTATATTATTAGTTTATCTATATTTATACAGAAACAGTATATATATACTAAAATTTTAAACAAAATATTTATATAATAATTATAATTTGTTGATAGTTTTTGAAATGTATTTAATTTATTTATTAATTTTGTTTTGCTATTTTTATAGACAATACTATTATTTAAAGAAATTGCTAAAAATGTTTACCCGAAAGACACGGACAACAACAACACCAATGAATTATTGATAACTAATTTTATAACAAACACATCGACAACAATGACAACAAATAAATTGTATACCGATTCCGATGATCGCAACAATTGTTTGCCGATTAGCCGATCGCCAGACGATATGGTAACGTTGCTAATGTCGAGCGGATCTACCGGCGCCCAGAAAGCTATCATATGGACCAATCGTCAATGGTTGGCCAATGTGTCCATTGCCAGTCATAGGGATGTAGTTCCGCTAACCAGTAACGACATAGTGTTAACCGAGATATACTGTCACGGGACAGGTGTTATTCAATTGATTCAATCGTTAGTATTTGGATCGCAATTAGTTGTTAACAATTACAGTAGTAGTAGTAGTGGTAGTGGTAGTGGTAGTGGTAGTGGTAGTGGTAGTGGTAGTGGTAGTGGTAGTGGTAGTGGTAGTGGTAGTGGTAGTGGTAGTGGTAGTGGTAGTGGTAGTGGTAGTGGTAGTGGTAGTGGTAGTGGTAGTGGTAGTGGTAGTGGTAGTGGTAGTGGTAGTGGTAGTGGTAGTGGTAGTGGTAGTGGTAGTGGTAGTGGTAGTGGTAGTGGTAGTGGTAGTGGTAGTGGTAGTGGTAGTGGTATTTCTATCAATAATTTTCATTTGTTACACAAGTATCGGATAACCAATTGTTATGTCTTACCAAACGATTTGTTGTATTTGTTGAACAATAGCCAGAAATATGACAAACAATATTTGCAATCAGTCCGAGACATACGTGTCGTTGGGTTTGCTATAAGCGGACAACTGTACGACCAAATCAAACAGTTATACGATTTTGAAAACTTTAATATAGTCTACGGTTTGTCAGAGTGTGGGAGAGTAACCACTAAACCATTGAATAGACAACAAGTTTTGTCGATACCGTCCGATAGTATCGGTTGTGTTGTTCCCGGAATGGAAGTCAAAGTTATCGATGAAAGTGGCAATAGTTTGCCGGCCAATCAAACGGGACAGTTGTGTATACGAGGACCGACTGTTAGTGAAAATTAATAATAATTAAAAAAAATATGTTATTAATTACTTTATTTATTTTTTTTAGCTAACATCAGGATATTTAGGTAATAACAATGTTTTCGCTAAAATGTTAACAAACGATGGTTTCCTAATGTCCGGTGATTTGGGATATTATGATGAAAATGAATTTTTCTATTTTGTCGACCGAATCAAAGATATTATCAAATTTTATGGTATATATACAGTATATATATATATATATTTACATGTATTTAAACAAAATATTATTTTATTTTTTTAATCCAAATTAGAAATAAGAATATATATATATATATATATATATATATATATATATATATATATATATATATATATATATATATATGTTTAATGTTTTTTATATGTTTATTATAATTATTACTTTTTTAAAAAATTTTTAAGGAGTAATTGTATCGCCGATAGAGTTAGAGAATCATCTATTGACTCATCCGTCCGTCGAAAGGGCGGCCGTTATCGGTATCGATAGCCAACAGTACGATCAGATACCCATGGCTTTTGTTACACTGAATACCGGTGCCATCGATAAGGCCGGGGATATCAAAGAGTATGTCAATAAACGGGTTGATTTCACCAAACAATTGAGAGGCGGCTTAAAAATATTGGATAAAATGCCCTTGACCAGTTTAGGCAAAATTAATAAATCAAAATTAAAACAAATGTATATTGATTAATATTTATTAGTAAAATTTGCATGTTCAGTTTATATATCAATATTACAACATAACATATACTTTGCCCGTATATGTGTTATACAAGCGCTGCGCTGAACTCGGGTTAGCGGCTTCTGAAGGCTGCACCGGCCGTCCAACTGGTCATTATTGTACAGCACTCGTCAATCGCGTCCAGTTGTTGAAACCGGTAGTAGCGTTTCGTGCGCCACCCACTCACCAGCACCAGTATAGTTGTATGAATTGTTTATTAAAACACAATTAAATTATATAATAAAAGAAACTTTATTGTTGATTATTAATATTAGTTAACAAATGTAAGATATTAAGTAAAAAACATACAACCCTCAGTAAAGAGACTGGTCTCAGGGAACTCATATAAAAACTAAGTGACATAAACCAAGAGACAGAGAGTAAGTAAGTGCCACATAAACCAAGAGGGCCCAAATAGGGTTCGGTTGACTCTTATATAAACCTTTAAAGGGGTGTGGTATGGCCATCATG